GTCCTGCCAAAGGGCACTGACACTCCAATACGCCCGTTATCAAGAAATGAAGCCAAAGTCGTATTACTGTACAGTAGCTGGTGAGGTAGACAGATGAATGCATGCCAGTGGTAAGGCTGGCAAACCAGTATTACAGGCAATGACGAGGCAGGCTAGTCGGCTATGCTAACTTCACCCAGCGCCCACTGGCTGAAGGGTGTAACGTTACAGCTCGCTATGTGTGGCTGCCATTGAGCACGTCAACAGCGGCTTTGTCAAATGTCGTTCATAAAGACATATCTAGCTAGGCTGCTCTAGGTCGCTAAAATGGTGAAAAGCTAAACAATTTGCCTACTGCATAACAAGTGTACAGCTAACTAGTTAGCTAAGCCACTCATATAGCTGGATAACGTTAGCGGTAGTTTCCACAACGGGCTAATGTTACCGTAGTGATATTGCTAGCAAGCTACATCATAACAGAAATATCTGACAAAAGACAAACTGCTAATTCGTCCCGAGTTAGTGTGCTGGTACAGAAAATACCACGTTAACACTGAAAATAACGTTTAATTAACGGTACCCAACATATAGAGCAAACTTTCACAGCTATATATGTAAGGTTAGTTTTATCGAGGTTAGCTCAACGTAACTAGCTAGCTAGCATTATCGGACTACTATTGCTGAAAGAAGTAAGCGGTGGGCTTTAGCCAAGACTGCATTTCTGAAGTGACACTGTTCTTCAACAAAGACATAAGGGAAAGAACATTCCCCAGTTCTGTCAGTTTATGAATGGATTCAAATTAACATTTTGCGAGTAACATGCTAGCTAGCTATCTATGTGGCTTGGCAACATTAACTGAAATAGCTGAAATAGTAACGTTAGGATTTGACCGATATCAGATTGTTGAAGCCAGCCAGTTACACAAAGTGTAGCTAACAAGAATTATTACTAATCTAAAAAAAACTCTTTCATTTTGTGACCGGAATCAGTTGTAAGAAATACTGAGGGCTATGCGCTTGTAAATGTGAATGACTTTGAGCTCTGGCTACATTATTTGCCTGTTCTCGTCCTGCTGGAAGAGAAAGCGGCCCGGCATTCACACCGAAATGGGAAACGATTCGCTCCGGGTGCTCGACTGAGCCTCAGCCGCTGAGCAGCGCGGTACTTACAGGTATACCCTTAAAGAGTCTCTCTCATCTGGTGACCTGTTGATTCTTTAAGCGATTTTGCTGTTAAAAACGGCCTCCATAGCCCGTGAGCAACACAAAGCGAGAGTCAGCAGCTGCTCACGAAAACAGGAACGGACATCATCGACATGCTCGATTCCGGGCGGAGGGCTTTACCACACTGCACTTCCGCTCTGCTTATTGACGTCAGAGATCGTCGATCAAAGGGAGCGAAATTTTAAGTGCAAAAAATGATAAAAGGAGGTTAAATTTGTCCTAGACATCCTTCATTCCCAGTTCCCCCAAAGTTAAAGAACTGATTTTTAGTTTCTTAATGGCATGAATCCACCCAAAGGTCATTTAGTGCAGGGTTTTCTCTAAACAGGGTCAAGTTTTCACATGCTAAGGAAATGTTTCCTATTTTTCTATTGTGTCATACTTTTTCTATTGTTTTCATACTCCTTTTAGGTTGATCTCTTTCTAGACTAGAAAGATTAGTAAAGAAATTCCTCTTTAAAGCCACATTTCCTTTTGATGAACTTTTATTTAACCCTGATGAGAAATAATAAACTTCATCATAATAACAGCTAAATTTTATATGTAAAATTTGCCAGCCTCACATATGCCCTGTGTACACACAGATCTATGTAATTACACATCTACATTAGTAAATTTACACTTGATGCAAAACAAGACATTTTGTAAGTCCATTTCGGTGTTAAAGCTTCTTTTCAAAGAACACAAAAAAAAACTTACATGTATCTTTTCATTGTCTACAGGAAGATGTTGGGCAGTAGGACTCTAGCATTACTGCTGCTGAGTGCTGATTGGATACCATTACTGCTGCTGAGTAGTGATTGGATACTATTACTGCTGCTGAGTGGTGACTGGATACCATTACTGCTACTGAGTGGTGATTGGTTGTGAGCAGATCAGTTACTTGGCTGAGTGAAGCAGTTCATGATCACTTACATCATAGACATACAGCAGAAAAAACTATGTGGACACCTCTCCTACTTAATGAGTTCAGGTATTTCATTTAGACTCATTGCTAACAGGTGGATAAAATCAAGTACATAGCTACGGAATCTCTTTATAGACAAACACTGGTAATAGAATAGACCATATTGATGAGATCAGTGACTTTAAAAGTGGCACTGTTATAGGATGCCACCATTGTCACACATCAGTTTGTGAAAATTCTTCCCTGTTAGATCTGTGAACTGTAAGTGCTATTATTGTGAAATGCAAGTGCCTAGGAGCAACAACAGCTCAACCACGAAGTGGTAGACCATGCAAACTCACAGAGCAGGACTGTCAAGTGCTGAAGCATGTAGCGCATAAAATTACACGTCCTCTGTTGCATCACTGATTACAGAGTTACAAATGAACTAGAAGCAACATCAGCACAAAAACTGTGCATCAGGAGCTTCATGAAGTTAGTTTTCATGGCCGAGTAGCTGCACACAAGCCCAAGATCACTATGCGCAGTACAAGCGTCAGGCCAGAGTAGTGTGAAGCATGCCATCACTGGACTCTAGAGTAGTGGAAACGATAAATCACCCTAAACTATCTGGCAGTCTGATGGACACATCTGGGTTTTGTTGCATGCCAGGAGAACGCTACCTACTGGAACACATAGCCCCAACAGTAAAGGTTGGTGGAGGAGAGATAAAGATCTGGGGTTGTTTTTCAGGGTTTGGGCCCTTAGTTCCAATGAAGGGTAAAAAGGGTACAAAGAGATTTTAGGCAATTGTATGCTTCCAACTTTGTGACAACAGTTTGGGGAAAGCTCTTTCCTGTTCCAGCATGACTGTGCCCTGTGCACAAAGCGAGCTCCATAAAGACATGGTTTGTCGAGTTTGCAGTGGAACTCCAGTGCTCTACACGAAGCCTTGACCTCAGCCCCGCTGAACACGTTTGGGATGAACTGGACAGTCAGTTGTGAGCCAGGCCTTCTCCTCCAACATCACAAATGTTCTTACGACGGGCACAAATTCACACTGACACACCAATATCTTTGTGGAAAGTCTTCCCAGAACAGCGGAGGCCATTACAGCCACAGGAGGGGGTTCCCATATTAACGCCCACGGTCTTGGAATTGGATGTCCTACAAGCTCATATAGGTGTGATAGTCAAGTGTCCACATACTTTTGGCCATATATTGCACATGAGGTGCAGTTAGAAAGTCCTTAAGTTCAAAAGTGCTCTAAAAGCAGCAGTGTTTATGTGTTACATATGAATAATTGATGCTGTTCTGTGTTCAGAAAATTATCTTTTAACTTTTACTTATTATTTTATTACTTTTATTTATTATTTTTAACTTTTATTTATTCATTTCTCTTAATAAAAAATGATTGAGCATTTACAAGCTATGAGTTTGCACAAAAGCTCCACAGGAACCAAATCAATTTGGACTTGCTAGGGAGCGCCCTCTAGTGTTCAACAAACCTGGAAGGCATAATTGAGAGGCAGTTCTCCTTGATGCAAGTTCTCTGGTGTTGTTTCCACTGTCATTCTTATATATGTTACTGAGAAACTGAGCAATGGGCTGAGAGAATGAATAAATGAATATTCATTATGCATCAGTCATTCATTCTAGTGCCTCTTTGCGGAGTCAAACAGAGAAAACAGTTTCAGTTTGCAGTTGTAATATTCATGGAAAAGTCCTGTAATTTACTGTTAAAAACTGACATTAGATGTTCTAACCTTAATAACAGGGAGCATAGTGGTCAGTTTAGCCTGAAACATTCCACCCCATTACAGGCCCCTCTGTCATGAGTTCAGTGTAATGGGGTTGGACTTCTCAATGTTATTTGGCACAGACAGAAAAATGGCTACTGAGGTGGGAAAAGCTGTTTTTTTTTGGTAAGAGCAAAACGTATCTCATGGAATGACTCATGCAGCCACCTGTGAACCTAAATGTGAATGATGTTATCTTGCTATTACTGAATAAAAAACTGTTTGAATCTGTTCATTATTTCTCCCAAATTGAGTCCTTATTATAGGCCCTCAGTCCTCTTAGCTCTGGTCCCATTAGACAGAGCTGCTTAAGTTCATTCTTAGACTTAAACTAGCAATAGTTATGAAGTTTCTAAAGCTGTATAGGTACTATACTGAGCATATATTGTTGCTTAATGCCTCATGATTTCAGAGCTTGGTTTATTGACATATTAAGAAATTAGAATGGAAGCGTTCATGAATAAGCAAGAAAGTACCTCATTATTCACCAAATTAACAACTGAAATTAAAAAAGAAATGTGTAATCAGCTTAAATCTGTCAGTGAACCACAGCAAACAGACAAGGATTTGACAAGTTAAGAGAAATTGAAAAAGCTGGTCCAGTTAATTTTAAGGAAGTTAAACCCTCAAATTATCTACTACGTAGACCATTCAGGCTGTTGTGACTGTAGAAAGAATAGGCACAGTTCAGAGAAACTGTTACACACACTAAAGCCTAATAATGCATATTTTAGAATATTATCTTTCATAAAACTCTCTTTCAGACCACTTAATGTGGCTTTATTTGTCACTACTTCTAAGGGGACTGATTTGTGTGATAATTTAGGCCTGCAGATTGCATGATGCTAATTGGTGTGCTATATGCTTCCACTACTTGTTTGCTGCATTAGCCTAATAGCTTTAATGCAAAACTAAAGAAGCAAATTTCAAACACCAAACGTCTCGGAATGACTTGACGTTCGGGGTGACAGAAAACTGTGTGTCTTTTTGCCAAACTCTTCCTGTTAGCACTGTCCACAACACAGTGCCTTTACCCTCCAGACAGAATGCAGTGCCAACACGAGTGTATTGGTAAACTTTTTTGTGATGGAATTCTGTACGTTGTACCACAATAAACAGAAAATGTTTGCCTTTTAATTTCACATGTAGTATCAGCATTACAATATAAAATCAACATAACATTTCACGTAAGCCTTGGCTGCTCAAAAATCTCATTTCACATCACATTTTAATCAGTATTACTTGCCAGATGTAACTCACCATGCACTAGGAGTAATTTCAGCTAAAAATACTCAAAAGTTACTTTAGCTAGTTCATCTATTTCAGAGCCATTGTTAGATGTGATCTGTTCAAGACTAGGCAATATTAAACACAATGAGCCTCATTCACCAACGTTTCTTAAGAAGAAATTTTTTTTCATGTAGTTTTTTACAGCAATTCTGCCATTCACCAATGTTTTCTTATTTGGGATTTGTTCTTAGGTAAGAACAGGATCTACACACACTCAAGAGCACAAAGGTGTGAACAATTCTGCACTTTAAGAACATGTCATGAATCTGACGTAGACTTTTTCTTAGGCCCAATGAGGCCCAATGTCCTGCATGATCCAAAAGAAACCTAGTCCTGTAGTCTTGTGCGGTTAAAATATATGATATTGCAAGGCAAAGATGAAGACGGTCTCATACATAGTTAAAAAATTAGCACAGTTTCTAAAGTACGTCTTTTTTTAACAGAGGTGAAAAATCAGCTAAATAAGAGAACAGAAATCCATGAGTTTCCTCTATTAGTGTTGGGCAGATTTAAGCTTTGCATTTCTCATCTGTTTCTGCAGATGTCTTCTCCTCACTTCTTCCAAACCGTTGACTTAGTTCAGTGGTCAAGACGGAACAACAGGATTTCTAAAAAAACACAGTTGCAAAATGAGGAACATCATGAAATCAAATGTACTCTTTTCCAAGAACTTGGTTTTGGCTAAACTGAAAGATTATTTTCTCGAAGACTTGCAGGTTAAACAGGCTAAACAATAGCTAACTGGCTAAACTGGTAGTCCATTCATTGAATGACTCACTGTAAAACTGCAACGTAAAAAGTAAAGAATATGCTACTGTAATGTCTTATATGTGTCAAATGTGCATGTTTTCAGCAGATCTGCCTTTAGTCATATTAAACCCAGTGCAGGAAAAAGAATATGTGGCACCATTAGCTTGATGCTAACTCGGAAATCGCATTGAGGTGCTAGTTGAAATGAGCATTGTAGTGGTAATTTGGAGAGCAAAACTACTTACAAGCGAGGGTTTCTGCATTAAACAATATTATGTTGTTACATTTACGTTATTTTATGACCAAAAAAATTTAAAGTTCATGAAATCACTGCAAAATACACTGATAGGTGACTGAAAGTTCTTGTCCTCCTTCATACTCTAAATCAACTACACTTGTAGTTGTTTGTAATAATTGTTTGTAGCAATTATTGTTAATTGTTACTTAAATAATGTATTGAAAATGTACATATTATCATATTTTTGTTATTTTATAAAAGCAGTAAGCCACTGGAGGCTGTACGCTACTATGATTCTACTAAGAACACCCCAATTCTAAAATCAATTAAAAAATCTCATTAACGCACGGCATCTTGTGGCTTATTATCTAGAGGACATCCTATTTTTCTTCTAATATTTCTCTTTTTGTACAGCGTTTCCTCTTTTCATTTTCCCTGGAGCCTTAAACCTCCAAGGCAATGTTCAGATGCCACAGAATGGCAAATTGGCAATCACCCAAAGCAAAATATTCCCTGTGTATCTCAGCTTTCTGACCAGGCCTAACTTACCAATTGATTTCCCACAAATGTGTTCTTCATTGACAACTTTAAGCTTTACAGAATTTTGGAAAAAATCCCATCCAACCTAACTTGTTGTGAACTTGTTGTGCCCAAAAAAACTACATTTAGTACGTCAATAACTTCAAATTAATGAACCACTCTAAATTTGTTTGTGCGACTTAAAAGTCACACTGTGTAGATAGAGAGGGAGTTTTTTGTCATGTAATCAACATTTTAGGGATCGACATTTGATAGCTAAGCCAGGGGTCGGCAACTCAAATGTAAAGAAGATCCATTCTGGTCTTTCAACAAAAATTAAACCACCTTGGGAGCCACAACATTTTATGTCCATTTTATTGAAATAACGTTTCACCATCCTGGCTGTAAATATGTCTCAGTATGTGCTAATGTGCTAGTATAGCTAGTATAACGGTATCTATATGTTATACAAATGAAAACGCAGACTTACTTTGCTCTGCTTTAAGCTTTAGCTCAGCTACCGTTGCTTTTCTCGCATCTCCGGCAGGAAACTTTTCCACAAAAATTAGGGTGGTTTCTTATAAAACGTCTCTCAATGTTTGACTTTTTGCAACTTTTTTTGCGAAGTCAACTTTTCATTCACTAGCTTCTTGTTCAAAGTCTGACTTCAGCTTCACAACCGTTTGACAGTTTCTCATTGCAGATTAAACATATCAGGAAACCAGCTGGGGTGATTATAAATGCAAATAAGTCCATTCGTCTCTAAATTATCAATGTTCATCTTGAATCTTTCTCTTTGCCTTTTCGTTAGCTGCTAGTTAGGCAAGACAGCTGTCTACATTGCCACGTGACCAGCAGTCTACATGCCACACTTCAGGGTTAAAGGGTGAATTAGCAGATAAAGGCTACATTAAATCCAGCATTTATGACCATTTATTGTTAAAATTGTGTTAGAACAATCAGCAGAGCTTTATTTTAGTGCAAAGGAGGATTATTTTATTTTTACCTAAAAATCTAATTCTGCTGTGGAGCCACAACAGGGCAGTAGAGAAGCCACATGTTGCCAACCCTTGGGCTAAGCAGAAGTTCACCACCTTCAACTGTGGTAAATGAACACAATTTTCCCATTACCCTGAAGGTGGTCCAATGGTCAAGACATATCTGATGTACAAAGTTTGATTCTTTACTTTTGCACTAGACCTGCTTGGCTAAAAAAGATTTTGGGTGGCGTAGACTTACACTACTTTTTATTAGACCTTCAGCTCCAGTGCAAAACTAGAGAAGGAAACTTTGGATACCAAACATGATCTGCCTGCTCTGCAGGGTAAGGTAAAATGTTGTTTTTAAGTAAACCAATGCTTTAACATTTGTAGTTGGCATTAATATTGTAACTACTACAGTAAAATGGCTGCTCAAACACAACAATCCTACTAATGAGCTAATTAATGAGCCCTTTCTGAGTTGAATGAGGTGGGAAAGCAATGCAGCACAGGGGTACTTCAACACCAAAGCTGGGGAAACATTGCCGAGCTGTAAGGCAGGCTGAGATTACATGACAAAAAATGACATCCCATTTTTCCCATCTTATTTTAAAAGTATGACCTTTCACACCCAAATAAAACAAAAATCATCTGAAATGACTGCTACAATTTTCCATTAGGTTGAATGGGATTTGTCCAATTTTCTGTGAAATCTATACAACCTTGCAAGGGGTGCCAAGAAATAACACATTTGTAGGCAAAATACGGGCAAATCAATTGCAGAGTAAACTTAGCTTGCCAACCACTTCAACTGAGTTTCTGAAAATCTGAAACCTAGCTCTGGACCCACCCGCTGTGAGTTAGCGATGCTTCTTGACTTGGAAGCCAGCTCCATGAGGGCCATAGCAACTCCCAGGACCAGGCCGAGCGCCAGCAGCAAGAAGACACCCTTTAGGCTGCTGGCCTTGAGGGAAGAGGCCTGGGCGTTTTCCGCTACACAGCTGCTGGCCCACCACTTGCTGCGGAGGTAATCCAACTCTCCGGACTCACTCAGCTGGAGGATGGCTATACTCAGATTTTTCACCATAGGAAAGCCTTAAAACACAAACATACACAGTGACTGCTGAGCAGTCTCAAACTTCAAGGTACAGTTTTACAGACCCAGAATAGGCCCAATTCTGGACGGAAAAGAATTTTCAGGAGTGAATCAACACTAGCATTGCAGTTTTGTCAAAAACTAGTCATAATTTAATGGATGTAAACCTGGCTGTAAAGGAATTTCAGTGGTCAAATTCCATTAATGCTGACAATAATTCAGCTGACAATAATGCTTAATCATTCTGTGGAAAACAGGTTCTACATCTTTTTATTCCAAGAAACAAGCTCCCATCATTGCATAACATACCAGCTGCTAAGTAACATTAGTCTGTTTAATGCAAGGTTTGCGAAACCAAGCGTGGGGGGAGGGGGGTCCCGTTACTTACCTATTTGGACTGCCTGAAAGCCACAAAATCAATTTTTGTGGGGTGCAAAAAAAATAAAATAAATAAAAATCTTCATGTTATAGTATTGTGGGGTCCACCACAGGCTGCACTGCACTGGGGGTCTCGGGAGATGCCACAGTCTCGGTAAGAAAAGGACAGTTGTTGTTGATGTTGTTGTTGTAGTAGTTGTTGTTTATCAGTGTAACTGTAACCAAGGAGGGTGGATTCAGTGTGTTGAGTTTGTCAACCCTCCTTGTATGTCCTCCCACATTACTCCCTCCCATTTGCCCATACGCCCAATGTTTTCTGCATCTTCTTCTATGTCAATGCTACACTGGTGTCAGAAGTGAGGGGCGGCTGCCAAACTGGAGCCCGGCGAGAGGGAGGTGGCGTGCATCTGCTTACCATGCTTTAACGGTGAGGGCGCCTGGGAGCCATACTCCGCACAGCTGCAAGTTGTCACATGCCATCATGGCTGGACAGTGGCCATCTCTGTGACACAGTTGTGTTTGGCACTGGAGTGGAAAGCATTACAGGTGCTTGGCGATCTGCCAGCTGCCTGCTCCTAGAGAGGTGGATGCTAAAAGGGGAGTGGAGAAGCATGCTGGTAGGGGCACTGAGCACAATAGTTCGACAGGTATATCCAGCATTTCAGGAGGCTGAGAAGGAATAGTAGGTGCTGGAACACTTCCTGAATGCACTGCTGCCAAAGAAGCTGAGAAGGCAGCAGTTGCATGCCCCACTCAGTCTCTCCGCTCTGGGACACCAATTGAGACAACACCCACAGAGCTAGCGTTTGGCTACTCGTTAGGTTCAGAGGAGGACAGTGCACCTGGAGCAGGGTACGCTGTGCCAAGGATGCAGCCCCAAGAGAGGACTGGGGGTACACGTTGCCAAGAAGTGGGCACACCATGGCCCTTGTGGATTTTGGTTGGGCTGTGTGGATCAGCAGGAAAATCACAACATCCTGATGGTATCAGCAGAGAGCCCAGAGGTCAAGCTCATGAGGACACCAGGTACCCCCTCAGGAAGGGAGCCCTCAAAGAAGGGGCGACAAACTCCTAGACTTTTCAAAGACTTTGTCTGGTAAGACCGCTAGGCACAAAGGTGAGGGGGAAAAGTGGCGTCAGAACCCACTATGATTCCCATGATGCTTTGTGCATGCTTAGCCGGACTGTATTTACTTAAAAAAAACATGAAGGTAAGGGGTTTTGGTTACATGTTCAGTATGCATGTTAATGTTTACAGGTTATGTGAACTGTTGAGCAGGTTGGGCAGGTACAGGGTCATAGGAGTGTGAGATCACCCAGGTTTGTTTCCTGGTTAATTACCCCCGGTGGAATTCTGTGGCAGAACACAGTTGTGCCTGAGGTTTAAAGAGCATTTTTCCCTTTTGGAAATAAGAGTGATAGTGTTACCAAGATGGTCCCGAGTAGACATTCCTACAGCCTTTAGCAAAGCTCTCTTATTCAGACAGGTCCTTCAGGGAAGAAAAGGAAGGGTAGGTAGCGGTTGGCGTTTGGCCTGTTCCTTACAGTGACCTACCAGTCGGCAAGACAGTAAAACAGCTAGCAGAATTAAAAGGACGTTACTCTTGGCTAGATGTAAAGGGAAAGAAGTTAGAGTTTTAGGTTTGCAGAGAAGTAAAAAAACGTAGTGCTTTCAGAAAAAGATCAAACTCTTTCACGTGTAAGGTTACGCAGAAGATTGCTACTGTAGCTCTGACTGGATTGTGGTATTGCTATTATAATCCTCTGCATAATTTGATGGTCACTGTTTAACAGTGGCATGCATCGTGGACAGGGGCTCTTATCTGTGATGCTGGTATGACGGACTGCTTTTTGTTTGCAGAATGAGTAGCACATATATGTATGATGCGATTTACCTAGCTATGCTATGCTTAGAGTATGCATTCTAAACTGCTAACATTCTAAACTGTTAATTTAAATTCCATAATACCAAAGTCAGATTTGAGTGTAACATAGGGACCCCCAGATTACAAGGGGGTATTTCGCACACTTGTTTACACACTTGTTTACTTAAAGTTATCCACAGTTAACCACACTTTAACAAAATAAGAAATAGAAAAATGGATGTATTCGAAAGGATAACGTCTGACTTTCAGCACTCCCTTTATTCAGACTTGAAAGAAGAGTCTAAAATTAGTAGGTCAAATGCCAAACTGCACTCTTACACAGCAACATGCCACTTATGGTGGATCTACTTTTGGCAGATGAAATAGCCAATTTGAAAATGTATGTGTAAGCCCGTTTTTTATTTAATGGGCCATATTATGTCATTTTGTCCACTTATTTCTTGAAGTGCCCCATTTTGTCCAAACCACTTGTTGAAAAGGGGACACACTGAACAAAGGGGACATTGAAAAGGTACAGTCTGTTAAAAATAGCACCTGTCTAAAAGTGTATGAAACAACACTGAGATCAGGCAGAGGTGAAGCGTATGCAGGCAGTCACTCCTCACCTCATAACTAATCCCTTGATAATAATGGCCACACTAGGTTAGCTCACTGACATGTATGACCTCAGTAGGGTTTTTAGGGCCTTTTTCTTGGTTAAGATATATTTATGTGGTTAATTTGGGCGCTTAATCCAGCGCATCTGTAATAATATCATAATAGTTGTTTTTTTCCTTTGGGCATTTAAGACAGAGTGGAGTGACAGTCAGACAATTTCACATAATGAGTGGTACATTTATACTAGACAACTATCTTCACTTAGTAACATGATAATTTAACTGTCTAGTGTCATTAGTGTTAACATTAGCCTGTGTAATGGTAAAGCAAACATATAGCATATAGCATATAGCCTGCTGTCTGTTTTAGGCTACGATGTGACAGATCAGCTATGTACTGATTTCTCCCCTTTAACGCTTTATTACTTTATTCTCGTTGTTGCTGCTGTTCATGAATCAATGTTATAAACAGTGTGCTGAATGGCCGAGGCCAAAGGTAGGGCTGCTGCTAATAATTACATTAGTAATTGACACGTAACATAAAAGCTACAGCATGATACATGAGTGAAACGGACTCTACGTATGCAGGTGGTGTTGTGGACCCTGCTGTAGAGTCCATGGCTAAAACATTATCCAGCTTTTATATGGTGACGTCCTATTCACTTCACTGGATGTGCATCCAGAGAATGCCGGCGTGGCCAGTTGAACGAACAAACAGATGAATGGACTTTCATGCTAGCTCAGTAATGCCTGCCTGGTTAGCTTTTGTTCGTCGTTAGCTTTCTCGTGGTAAGTTCATTCAACTTAAACAAGGAGAAGGAGACTATAGGGGGACACAGATTTAATAAAGCTTGGGCAGGACAAACCAAATCAGCCTTGTGTGAGGATATTGCTTACATACGTCTGACCCAAGATTAGGACTGCCCGGTTCACATGGAGTAAGAGAATGTTGGCAAAATACATTGACCATTTAATGGACACTGGAGAGTTATATACAGTACATATTTTGTACACGCACATTCTGTGCTCACAAGAGCAAGATTAACCTACTTGGCAGGAAGACACAAATTTAGGTTCTGTAGGGTTTTATCATACTTGTGATCGCACCCACTGTTCGGCCCAGTTTCAATACTTTAAGAAGTCTTTACCCACACTGACTCACCAATTGGATGTGTGTCACACTTACATTACACAGGAGGTGACTCATGGCAGAAGGGGGGAGGTGAAAGTGGGGAACAGATTTTTCAAACAGGACACCCTTACCCTCAGCCCATTAGTCTCTGTGAGCTAATTGGCTAACTCCGACAAGTTTTTTCACAAGGTGGAACATAATATCCATAAAATTTGTGAATAATTGCTTTGTCTGGCTTTATACACTGATCAGGCATAACATTATGACCACCTCCTTGTTTCTATACTCATTGTTCATTTTATCAGCTCCACTTTCTATATAGGTACACTTTGTAGTTCTACAATTACAGATTGTAGTCCATCTGTTTCTCTCCACACTTTGTTAGCCCCCTTTTACCCTGTTCTTCAGTGGTCAGGACCCCCATGGACCCTCACAGAGCAGGTACTATTTGCGTGGTGGATCATTCTCAGCACTGCAGTGACACTAACGTGGTGGTGGTGTGTTAGTGTGTGTTGTGCTGGTCTGAGTGGATCAGACACAGCATTGCTGCTGGAGTTTTTAAAAACCTCAGTGTCACTGCTGGACTGAGAATAGTCCACCAACCAAAAATATCCAGCCAACAGCGTCCTGTGGGCAGCATCCTGTGACGACTGACGAAGGACTAGAGGATGACCAACGCAAACTGTGCAGCAGCAGATGAGCTATCGTCTCTGACTTTACATCTACAAGGTGGACTGACAAGGTAGAAGTGTCTAATAGAGTGGACAGTGAGTGGACACAGTGTTTAAAAACTCCAGCAGCACTGCTGTGCCTGATCCATGTTATGCCTGATCGGTGTACTTGGTGTAGTGCCATTCTTTTTGTTAAGCCATGTAGCCTTTGGCATGCTAACTAGCAAACTAGTGGAGTGAAGTAATGAAGTTGTATCAGCAGTCATTTATAACAGATGGAGCAGTTTGCAAACTAAAGCTCAGCAAAGTGAAGCTCATGGTTTTGACATATAATGAGTTCAAGGCAAATTCTGCTGCTGAATCCGACAATTGTGTTCACTCTGTCCCTCACCGCTCCAAAGGCTCATCTAAAAAACTTTACTTCAGCTAATAAAAATAATGGAACGGCCCTTAAAATGCTGTTAGGGTTCCGCCCCTCCCCAAGAAGAGATGATGAGGGCTTGTTAAACTGGCATTGAAACAGGTGGTCTGTATCCCAGCTTGGCCTGCACCTACCTAATGGAGCTGCAATGCTGTAGCCTCTCATGCTGATGACCTCAGGACAACGCATCAGATTGCAGTAGCGTGCAACAGCCAGGTCCAGAGACACAGACTCTCCGATGAAGGCGTAATTCCCCTCCTGAGCCCTACGGACACCCTCATCCATCGACTGCACATAGCTCTGCTGCCTCTCCATATTCTCATAGATCTGCCGATAGGTGGGATTGTTGGAGTTCTGTTCGAACAAGGGACAAGAACGGTCATACCATGGATATCTCAATGACAGACTGAAGGGTGAGACCCACATAAGTGTATATATGAAATTGTCTGTTAAAAGCTTGAGGACACGTTTCTAAAACAAATAAGCATGTTTTCTTTGTCAGTGTGCAACAGCCAGGTTTATTTTGAAGAAAGACAGTATCACTCCTGTAAATATTTGTGGCAATAATACACTGGACAGTACTACTATATTGTGATGTCAAATTAGGTGTTTCAAGTACCTGTAGAGCAAAAGATTTTCATTTTTCATACTTTTACCAACAATTTGCGTAAGAAAATCTAAATCATTACGTAGGCAAAAATAAGCTCTTCACAGCAAGGAAGACTGAAACTCAGTGTTGCAGAATGTACCCAAATTATTAGGTAACAGCTGTTAAATGTTAACATATTTACAGTAGGCCAGTTGCGGTTATAAAGTAATCGTTGGATGTTCATTAGGCAGAATTCCAGAGAATTCCACAAAAGCAGCTGTGATTCAATTTGGCATGGACTGAACAAGTTTCTGGACATCAATATTCAGCCACTCTTGCATCAAAGAATTGCACGGTTCGGCCAGATTTCGTGGATGCCTTCAATACACCTGTAAATTCAGCTACTTCCTTCACACTAAGGCCTTTCGGCACACCCAAATGCATTCACCCCTTTTTGCCAGTCATTAACATCTACTTTGTGACCCATTTTCCACACATCGAACGAGACTGCACTGTACCCCCTTTTCTCAATCTATGAATCCCGTCACACACACCGCAGATATTAATAGTCCAATCATCATGCAATGCCATCTAAAGGAGACTGAAGTTACTACCACCTTAAACACGCAAAGTGAGTCTTGCTAATCTAAGAGTATTGAACAATGGTGAAATTTGACTAACCTCAGTTATTATCTCTGACAGTGCTTACTTTGTATTGCAATTAATGCAATGTTTTATTGCAGTTTTACGCAATAGAGACGTGTCATGGGTCTTACAAGAGCAACAGAAGTTCTAGCTGAAGGTGTGTGGATCGATACTGAAATATGGATACTTCCGATCTTGTTTTTTTTTAGAATTGAACACTTACATGACAATTAAAGGGGAGTTCTGCCAAATATTCTAAATTTATGCATAATTAAATGGTTGAGATATAAACAATTTCATTTAGTAGTTTAATGTGAAATGCACCGTTTGCTGCAGATTTGACCTTTCTTTTCTATTTTTAGTTTATTTGCTTTTTTAAACATTAACTTTTATGGTTAGGAAAGTCTTTATGGTAAGGAAAGTCTTTATGGCAAGGAAAATCTTTAATAAAAAACACAGTGAATAACTGAATACTGATTAACCCAACACCTTTAGAAAACTACTGTCGTTTGAAGAGATATTGCTGCAAATGTGTATTCATGAGCTTCTTCTGGTGTAGGTTCATGGTGACATGCATGGTGACTATAAGCAATTTCCAAAGCCATGTCCGTGTGTTTTTAATATTAAAAAAACAAGACACATAAGCAGTACGGAAAATACTGCATTTTTTGCAGTAAATTATATGGAGTAGAGGCAGTGGGCATTTTACTGTACCATAGCCTAACAGTAAATGAAGCATTATTTAATGTTTTTATTACCTTTTTCTGATCTGAAAGACCAATGCTAAGGCCAAACGCTCCAAACTATTTATGAAGTTTTTGTCACATTCTAACAGCGATTTTCAAATATGTTTTTGAAACACTTATTTGACCTTCAGTTTCAAGTATTTTGGTGTCTCCCCATTCAAAGAGAGGAGTCTGGTCATGTATGGCTGGAAATAACTGCCTGCGTTGTTGTAGAAATGGCCGCCAAGTATACAACCTTTCCTATAAGGGCTTTGGCAATACAGTGCCTTATATGATGAAACAGTGCTTCATATGATGTTTATAGATGGCATATATTGCTTTTGCATTTGACAGTGTGAATCTGCCTCTAGGAGTCTGACTGCCAGGTTAGCAGTGAGAGGGGCTTAGTGGAGCGCAGGGAACAACCTAATATGGGGCACAATTTAACACTGCCTTTTACATTGTTAAAGGAGGTTGAGCAGCGTGTGCTTCTGGCCACAATACAATATTTCTTAGCCATGTTCTCCCATGAAAATTCAGAGCAATTTAAAGAGATCTGTGCCAAAGAGTTCCAAAGTTTTTTACTGAGCTGTTTGTGTAAATCACAAAATCCAACCTTACAATACTTTAATCATATGACATTACAACTAAGCCTTCTTTAGTAAACAGACAAATAAAGTAAATTATGCCTTTTTGTTCTGTATGTTTGTACAGATTTTAAGATGAAAAAGAAAAAAACATCTAAAAGACAAGTATTTTCTTCTACTTTACTAGTATCTTTTAGATGTTACTATTTTTTTAATAAATATATTAATTAAATTGACATTAACAGCTGGTAAAACTGTAGTTTATACAGATGCAATGGTCCATATCGCTGTTGTCAGAAGAAAACCTTGTATCTCCATTTCTGACGTTTTTCATTCTTATTTCAGTTTTCATACATAGTTCGACATGTGTGTGTATCTATCAGTTGAGCTGTCTGTCTGTCTTATAGATGATAATATATAAAGCAGTTTGGTTGAAAAATATTTGTTTCTTACAACATAGAATTATATATAATTAACTTTGTTTGCAATAATTCATCAGACTTTTCTAGCAAGTGTTACAACCAACCCTCTGTTTACAGTGAACCCATCCATGGGGTGAACTGTAACATTGCACTTTCCGTAATTTGGGGAGTTTGTGGAATTGTACATGAATGGTAGGGGCTAGAAACAAAGTTCAAGTGTTCATTTGTAGCACAGATGTATATGTTGCCTGTATAAAAAATATGAGTATTCCAACTTATATCTTTTTAAAATTATTCAACAAATAACAAAGTGTGTTGGGTTGTGCCTCGTTCTCCCCTATATGCCTTTCACAGTGTTAGCAGACATTAAGATCATGCTGTGTAATAAGATTAATAAGATTTCAGACAAAAGAACTGCACATCTTAAGCAATAGTTTGGTGAAGAAACATACAGCAAACGGCATCTGTGCTTTTGTCTGTTTTTGTGGATAACAGTATGTCACAGTGTCAGAAATCACAGAAGTGAGATTGATGTGGTTGAGGTGGTTTGAGTGTGTGATGATTTATGCAGGCAGTTTGCATGATAATAATTGGTGGGTTATAAACTGTCATTACTTGATAGCTGTAATATCTTTGTAGCTTAAGTGCAAAACTAAAGTGGTGAAGGCTTTTAATCCAAACTGTCGGTTTAGCGTAAGAAATTTGCAATGGTATGTAGTCGCACACAACCTACCTTGAAGTATGCAAGGGTGGAAGAGGACTTCAGCGTGCCATACTGAATGATGTTTTGGTTGGCTAAGTCTTCAAAGCTCTTAATTGACAGATGTTTGTTATCTAAATGGAGCCAAGAGCTGAGGTTGGCGAAGTAGCAGGCCAGCACCACTAACGAAAACATCCACCAGATGGCAGTAATCACCCGTCCTGACAAGGCCTTGGGGTGAGGGCCCGCTCCTGCAGGCAGAAGAATTAAAGGGGATTCCACCACTTTTTCAAAATTTCTGTATAATTCACTCATGAGATGTTAACAGTCATATCAGAGAGGTTTGATGTAAAATGGCTCATTGTAAAGAAACTTATAGACTCTGATTCTTTACAGTGGTGATGATATTAACCAGGGGTTGCCATGTCTACAACATGAACATAGCATACATCACTCTGCCATGAATGGATTAAAATAAATGGATTAATATACATTTTAAGCCAAACTTTCCTACAAAACATAAAACATACAATCATAAAACTTCAGACGTCTGGTTCCTATCACCACCACTGTGAACAATTCTGACTCTAGTTTCTCTAGAATGGAGCATTTCACATTAAACCTCTTTGAATGACTTTGTTGACATCTCAGCCATTTAATTATGTAGAATTTTTTGAAAAGCGGAGAAGTTCCACTTTAATATGAACAGAACTCATTGTCTATCATCTACGCTTTGTTTTAAGAGAGATTAACACTTATGCAATAAGAAGAAAATGTCTTTGCATTGTGAGTGTCAACATACAGTACTTCATTTACTGGATCTCCATTCAAAATGGCCAATACGTACATGAAGTTATTCATTTTAGGAGATATTTCAGAGGAGAAGAGTTACAGAGAAAGTGGGCCTCCTCACAACCTAGTAGACCATCAAAACCATCACTATCAGATGAACAGTATTTAAAGTGTTCATCTTTGAGAGAGAGGAGAAAGCCAAACTCCACTCTTCCTTCAGATCTGAAAGAATCCACAAGTGTTTCTGTCCATCCTTCCACTGTGAGAAGACAACTCAACACTGAGTAAGAAAGGATGTGTAGCTGTCAAGAAGCTGTTACTGAGAAAAGGAAAGCAGAACATTTACAGATCAAACACATGATGTTCTCGTTTTGTCTTGTGTTATAAATCCAGCAGACCCTTTTCCCTTTATAGCAGAGCACTTTCACCCCTCCCTAAAAGCCCAAACTCACTCTTAGCCAGGCTGTGGCATGATTCAACTTGAGCCAAGATGACAGAAAAGAGCCTTTGCTCAACAAGAAAGGTAAAATCAATTCAGCTGTTTGCAAACACTTTGGTTTGAAGGAGTCAGATGAGGAACAACAACAAATACTGTGCAAAAAAAACCTACATTTTAACAGTGTAGTGTCTGCACAAGACAATACGACCAACCTGTTTAATCATCTGAAGTTCAATCTGTTAAAAAGTTTTTTTTTTAAAGTTTGGTAAATGCATGATGTTTCCGAGTAAATGAGTAATAGTGTTAAACAATTGTGTTATTGTGATGTAAATCACTTTGGAGGTGTGGAAAAATATCCCTGAAGATTTCTCTGAATAACTGAAAGCAAGTCTGTAATAAACTCTGAAAAAGGATGGGTGTTGTCTAACTTTTGCACAGTACTATCATTTACATGTCATATATTTGAGATATAAATTACATCTGTATGTCATAAAGCATTTTTCTTCTTATTAGATAAATGTGTGTATGTGGTGGTTAATTGAGTTTGTTACCTTGCAGAGTCAGGGCTCCAATGGTATACCAGAAGCTGTGTGAAAGCGTGAAATGATTGTCCTCTGTCTGGGGTTGGTCCCATTCAGACGGGCTAATCCTTCATAAAACACACACAAATAATCAATTTCAAGCCTTATTCCACTCAACCTCATATCTCCAATCTTAAGCAGTCTCTCTCTCTGGTAATAACCTCTATTCAATGTCCTGGCTGAAGATAAGAAAGACAAAAGAGTGAGTGTATCTCACCGAGCCACCAGATAGATACAGAAGGAGGTCAGTAGATAAGCCACAAGGATGCCCATCCACATTTCAGTGGAGAAGAGGTTTAAAAAGCTGAGATACTGCGAGTCGTCAGAGGCGATGTCCTTTCTCATCAAAAAACTGATGCCTGTCTGCATAAAAGGTTTGGTCATGTCCACAGCTGCCTCCCGACCAGCGGTCAGGGTGAGGGGTGCCATGACCAGGTCAGCTTCCTAATGAGAACACAAAGATAAATTAGCATAGCTGTGGGCAGTTTCATTTTATAAGGAGATTCATTTGGTTGGTCAATACATTAAAATGTGCAACAACTTGACTGACTGGCCATAGAAAATCTCCTGTCCATTGAAGCTCTAAATGAAAATGGAAGGAGTTAAATTACTTAAGGTGAGGAATGAGGCTACAATATCTTGAATGGATGGTGGATGGTGATGGACATTACCATATAGACTCGAGAATACTTTGACAAACCATTGTCAATAAACACTGTTTGTCGCTGCATCCACAGAAGTCATATGTCAACAACATTCAGAAACACCGCCAACTTCTCTGGGCTCGAGCTTATCTGAAATGGACTGATGCACAGTAGAAACGTGTACAGTGGTTGGCCTAGTGAACCTTTCATCATTGAAAATCCACTTTAGTTTAATCTGGGTCTGGGAAACTGGCCTTTACATTCTGGGGACCTCCAACTCTAGCTAATGAGGTTGGTTTTCAAGGTTTCCTCTAGAATACTTGTCAATCTGAGCGTGAACATTTTAGAGTAGCTGGATTGAGGCAAGATTTCATTGTGGAAGTCATTGTGGAGGTCATTTGGTTGGGTTTGTATGGTTATCACCAACATCTTTCTTTTCTTAAAACAACCTAAAAATAGTGGGCTTAAAGGGCCTGTATCCTACGTTTTAGGTGTATTTTATTCATTTTCTTCCCGAGGTTATATTTGCATAGTTTCTTGTACTGAATACAGTCATAATTCCTTTTTACTTGACCATTTTCCAAACACTCTTTATTTTATTTAGTAAGGGATACTTTGAAATCAGGCTTCCAAGGTAAAATCAATACATATCTTCTGTAGAAGAAACTCACCCCTCTCACAACTTCTCCAACCATGCCGAACCAGTTCCCACGTTCGTCCTTGGCCCCGTATTTCCCGTCTTTCACAAGATGAACATCATACTTGAAGCCCAGCTTACTGGCAAGTGCAGAAAGCAGGTCCATACAGAAGCCTTCCAGTTCTGAGCCTTTGGTCATTGTGTACGGTTCTTGCTGTAGAGGAGGTCAGTGGAGTTTGATGTTTATTATCATTATTGAATTACCATTTATTAACAGGCATCTAAACCCGGATGTTCCACTTAGAAACAAAGTTTACTCGATTTGGTTCTCATCACCTACCTTAATGGTGGTCACCTTTAATGGTTGTGGTTCTAACAATAAAAAAGAACAACTGTGTTATTGGACTAGAAAAATCTGTTAAAAAAATACATGGCAAAATCTGAGTTTTTCTCTTGCCCCAGAAACAGTCAATCAGCCAAGACATGTTTGGTTTTCAAAGTGTGCTTCTGTAGGTTTACAGTGGACGCTAATGTAGATAAGAAATAATAAAAGTTACACTTATAGCACAATAATCAGCATTCTGAAAACAGCAAGCCTCAAACTGTGGTATTATGTAATCTCAAAAAGATTTATTTATGTAGCTTCTGACACTGTATTGCATGTGTGTGTATGTGTGTGTGTATACTCTATACACTGTATGGACAAAAGTATTGGGACACTGACACATTGCACCTTCAGGAGCTTTTATGACATCCCATTATAAATCCATATGCATTAATATGGAGTTCGTTCCTCCTTTGCAACTATATCAGCTTCCACTCTTCTGGGGAGCTTTCTACAAGTTTTTGAGTGTGTCTGTGGGAATTATTGCCCATTCTTCCAGAAGAGCATTTGTGAGGTCAGACACTGATGTTGGACGAGAAGGCCTGGCTCGTAATCTCCATTCTAGTTCATCCCAAAGGTGTTTGATGAGGTTGAGGTCAGGGCTCTGTGCCGGCCAGTCAAGCTCCTCCAAACCAAACTCAGCCAGTCATGCCTTTATGGGCCTTGCTTTGTGCACTGGGTGCACAGTCATGCTGGAACAAAAAAGGGTCTTCCCCAAACTGTTCCCACAAAGTTGAAAGCATACAATTGTCCAAAATGTCTTGTTATGCTGAAGCATTAAGATTTCCCTTTACTGGAACTAAGGGGTCTAAACCAGGCCCTGAAAAACAACCCCATAGCATTATCCTTCCTCCACCAAACTTTACAGTTGTCCCAATGCAGTCAGGCAGCTACTGTTATCCTGGTATTCACCAAACCCAGTCCATCAGACTGCCAGATAGAGAAGTGTGGTTCGTCACTCCACAGAATATGTTTCCACTGCTCCAGAGTCCAGTGGCAGCATGCCTTACACCACTCCATCCAACGCTTGGCATTGTGCATTTTGATCTTAGGCTTGTGTGTAGCTGTTCAGCCATGGAAATCCATTTCATAATTCTCCTAATGCAAGTTATCTTCTCACAGTGGAAGAATGGACAGAAACACCTGTGGATTAATTAAAGATCTGAACAAAGAGCAGAGCTTGATTTTCTCCTCTCTCTCAAAGATAAAAGCTTTAAGTATTGTTTATCTGATGGTGACAGTTTTGGCTTTACCAGGTCTTGCACAGAAATTCTCCTAAGAAATGCCCATGTTGACCGAAAATTAAATAAATGAAAGTGGTCTCTGACTTTTACACAGAACTGCATATTTGATTTCATGTTTGTTTTTTCAAAGAGCTATTCCTTTGGGTCAACACTAGGGATTTTCCTGTGCAGACTGGTTGCTGTTACATCATTGGTATGTATTAAGCTAAATGCGAAATAATTAGGCTGAATCTTTACTTAACTCCACATGGATTAATTCAATTTGAGGACTCCCTGGAGGGATAAACCAATTATCAAATCCTTAATTAGAAAGGAGCTGAACAATACCTCTACAAGAGCACGGCAAACAGGACGAGAGAGGGACAGAGAGGGAAAGAAAGAAAAACACCGCCTGTCTCAATCTGACAAGAAGCCGAACTCTTGCAAGACATTCTTGGCAGTAAATGAAGCGTTTCATCATGCTGTGCCATGCTTTGTACTCCTCTTCAGACGGAGGCAAATATCCCCAAGTTTACCAGACAGGGACAATGTCTTGGTTGTGTTGCCGCTCTCTTTAGCCCGGTCCTAAGCGTCATGGCCACTAATCGTCCTTTAAAAGAATAAAGTTGCTTGAAAGGACATAAAGTGAGCCAAACAGTGGGGTTGTTGTGGAGCTTGTGGTGTCTCTCAAGTCCAAGCTGAAATGTGTCCCTGAGAAAGAGGAGCCACCGTATGCTGGGAAAGTGCCCTGCTTCTCTCCTTTAAGTAGGTGTTTTTGATTCTTCTTTTCAGCACTTCAGAGGAAGAGGCTTAACTCCTCACACTACAAGGACTAACATTCCTCATAACAAATCTTACATAATTACTGAATTTCATAATTTCATAGTAGTTACTGAATCATTTCTAGTACATACTGAATAATTTATAGTAGTAACTGAGTGTTATCACAGAACCTTTTATTTAATTTATAGTAATTACGGAATCAGTCATAGTACTAAATAAGCAATAGTAGTTACAGAATAATTTACTGTAGTTACTTAATAATTTATAGTAGTAACTGAATGAAATTGTAGTACTTAGTGAATAATTTATAGTAGTTATGGAATAATATACAACAGTAACTGAATCATTTATAGTAGTAACAGAATAAGTAATAGTAGTTAATGAATATTTTATAGTTGTTACTGAATATTTTATAGTTGTTACTGAATATTTTATAGTAGTTACTGAATAAGTAATACTAGTAACAGTAATTTACAGCAGGTACTGAATATGTTAGAGTAGTAACAATAGTTTACAGTAGGTACTGAATAGGTTAGAGTAGTAACAATAGTTTACAGTAGGTACTGAATAAGTAATACTAGTAACTGAACAAGTGAGTTACTGAATAATTTATAGTAATTACTAAATACGTAAATTAGTAACTAAATAAGTAATATTATTAACTGAATAATTTATAATTGTAACTGAACAAGTAATAGCAGTTATTGAATAATTTGTACTAGTAACTGCATAATTAATAGTAGTTAGTGAAGAATTTATAGTAGTAACTGACTAATAGTAGCTACTGCATAATCTGAGTAGTTACTGAATAAGTAATAGTAGTTAGTAAATAGTAGTAACTTAATAAGTAACACCTGTTACTGAATAATTTATAGTAATAACTAAATTTATAGTGGTTGCTGAATAAATTAGTGGTTACTGAATAGTTTCTAGCAGTTGCTAAATGATTTATGGTAGCTAAAGAATAACGTTTGGTCATTACTGAAGATGTAATATTATTTACTTAATTATTTATAGTAGCTATTGAATAATTTAGTTATTACTGCATCAGTAGTAGTAGTTACTGAATAGATTTATATTTGCTGAATAAATCAGTAGTTACTGAATAATTTCTAGCTGTTACTGAATCATTAGTAGCTAAAGAATAATTTAGAGTAATTACTGAATAATTTATAGTAGTTACTGAATAATTTAGTGTAATAACTCTATTTATAGTACCTGTTAAAGAAATCAGTAGTTACTGAATAATTTAGAGTAGTTACCAAATATGTAGTAATTACTAATAATATAAAGTAATTACTGAATAAGTAATTGTAGTAACTGAATAATAATAGCAGTTACTGAATAATTTATAGTAATAACTAAATAACTTAACATAGTTACTGAATAAGTAATAGTAGTTACTGAATAATTTATAGTAGTAACTAAATTTATAGTAGTTGCTAAATAAATAAGTAATTACTGAATAATTTCTAGCTGTTACTGAATCATTAATAGTAGCTAAAGAATAATTTAGAGTAGTTACTGAATAATTTATAGTAGTTACTGAATAAGTAATAGTAGTTACTGAATAATTTAGAGTAGTTACTGAATAATTTATAGTAGTTACTGAATAATTTAGAGTAATAACTATTTATAGTAGCTGTTAAAGAAATCAGTAGTTACTGAATAATTTATAGTAGTTACTGAATAAGTAATAGTAATTACTAATTAATAATTTAGTGTAAGTAAATTTATAGTAGTTGCTTAATACATCAGTGGTTAGTGTATCATTTACAGTACAGTTACTGAATACCAAGTTACTAAATAGTTCAGTAGTTACTGAATAGGTAATAGTAATTACTGAATAATTAACAACTACATTTATAGTAACAGTTATTGAATCATTGAGTGGTTAATGAATAAGACACTGTAGTTAATGGAAAAGTCATAGTCCAAGACACTACTGAATAATTCATAGTAGTTTCTAAATATTTTTAGTAGTTTAGTAGCTATTGAAATCATTTATAGTAATTTGTAATGGTATATAGTAGTTTTGGAGTAGTTACTAAATAATTTATAATAGTTGACTGAATAATGTGTTTTAGACTAATAACTGAATAATGATCAATTTTGGTGACCCCTTTATTTTAAAAACAGGGCATCAAAAATGCCATATCATGCTTATACAATTTCTAAAAAAATGATACATATACTGTTTTTCTTGCAAAGACTCAGATAGACTCAGTTTTACCAGTTGGATGTCTGGTTCCTATCACCACCACTGTGAACAATTCTGAAATTCATCTTTAACCAAAGATGTTTTTCTCAGAATATTCCACTGGTTAGCAAAGATGTACTCTTACCCTAGTGTAAAAGCCTTCACACTCTTTGTTGATTCCAGTGCCTCACATTAAAAGTTCTTAAATTTTTAAAAACTCCTAATTTAACATCGTATATCATCTCATCAAACTGAAAATCAGGCAGATATGAACGTAAGGCTGCAATAAAACTCTGCAGGTGTATAAGAAGCAACAAATGAAGAACAATTTAACTGTACAGTGTTGCTGCAGATTTTGTTAGATGATACTTAACATATTACTGTGTGTTATCTCTAAAAAATTAACTTTGTATTTGTTTTTATGAAGTTGTTGTTTCCAGACTTTTAGCCTGCAGTGTAGCTGAGATTTCTTCAGGGGTCAAAGGTCTTACAGCAGATTAATTGTGAGAAACGTTCTTCTTCCAGCAAGTTCTTCCTCAACACGTCTTGGGCAGCTGCATTGAGACGTGGAAACCCCGCAGGAGTGCTTCAAAAGTCGCACAGTGGCACTGACACCCATTATCCTTTTCTTGCAAAAATATAAAAAATGTACATGCCATCCAAGCCGCCACCATGACACGGTCTGTTCTGCATTTCTGACTGCTTGGTTAGCGGTCACTAATTGATTACTCACAGTCATTGTTGGGGATGGCAGGCTCTTTCTGCTCTTTAAAAGCAGATCACTCAGAGCCCAACAGAATGCTCAGATGGGGCGCCAGGACGCCGCTGTGACCAGCAACTGAGGCAGTTACACGCCAGACCGGCTCTGGCCCTTCCTATATCCTGCTGATTGACTTATATTGACTCACTAGTGGAAAGCCATGGGAAGACCTAGTAACATCAATAACCCATACAAAAGATATTCCATACAAAATACCGGCAAAATTTAATTCTCCGTTTCTGTGAGTGCCTAACTTTACTTTTTATTATACATTGCCTATTAAAAGTCTGGGTACACCTTTTGAAATGTTTAATCTGCTACTTTTCAATTAACTCAGAAACATATCTGCAAAGCGTCTAACATAAAGCAGATATTTGTTGTTGTGGTATATTTTTGTCAAAGTGTGAAAAAAAACTTAAGCCTAAGTTTGCCTAAGTATTGATTTGACAGTTTTCTTTTCCAGGAGTACTCTCTAATTCTCAAGAGAGTAGTTTTCCAATGTTTTTTTCTGTCAGTTTTAGCAAATAGGTTTCTAATAAGATAAAAATAAGACAAAGATAACAACCTCATTTTTTATAAATGTTTACAAAAGTAGGTGTCCCCAAACTTTTGACAGGCAGTGGCATTCTGGTTCTAGAGAAAGGTACCAAGTCAGAATTGTTCAGAGTGGTGGTGATAGAAACCAGACATCTGAAGCATTGAATGCCTCTCAAAGCTGAAAAATCACAAAAATCTGTTGCATGAAATACCTGATGCATTAGACAATGTTTCCAACAGTTTTGAGATAAAATGTTCGTCTAAAACATGTTTTCATTTCAAAAATCTTTTCATGGCAGAGAAATCCCATGCAGGGCGTGGTAAGGAAGTTTGTCCCCCACAGACTTTCCACTATTTCACCTTCATTAACATTATGCATGTAGGTTCTCTGGCCATTTTGGATAGTAAATAAAATGGCTACATTTGCATTTACACTGTGACCCCTGGTTCCCACCTTCACCATTGTAGAGAACGCTGTAAGTTTCTCTGCAATAACCATTTCACATCAAACCAATCTGTATGACTTTGTTTACATCGCAATGATTGATTTATACAGAACGTTTGAATAGTGAGTGGAGTTCCCCTTTAAATCAAATCTGTTATAATGTGGTAATAAACTAGTAATAAAACTCTAGATGCAGAAAAAACAGTAGAAGGTAGGTAAAGAAGGTAATAAATGAATAGCTACATTGAAAAGGTCATAGTATACAGAATGTGATCACACTGTTGGCTTGGTTACCTGCAGTGCAGAGTCCAGCTGTAAGTGCCGCAGTGAACAAGAGAAGCCCCAGTGATGCCATCCTGCTGTATTCCTCACTACAAAATGTAAAAGGTGCTTTAAAACATGGTCCAAAGATGAGTGCTAATCAGGCTTGAAATATAACACCATTTGAAAATTAAGACAACAGCAATGATGTCTGCAATGAGCTGAATGTTTTTAAAATCAGTCCACCTCCTATTCCTCTCAACTCCAAAAACAATGACTTTATTTAGTCTACTCCATTTAGCCTTTATACAAATATAAGTTCAGTTGGAGGTCAAGACATTCAATGCAATGGGTCAAAATCAAGATGAAAGAGAAGTGCACAAGCACATGCCAAACTTACCCTGGCCTGCGATTAGCTTTCGTTCCACTGTACAGACCATCAGGGACCTGCCTAACATATAAAGCCTGCACAAACACCCCAATGTCAGAAAGTAGCCAATGAGAAACAGTGGGAAGTTCTAGAAAGTGGAGGGAAAAGGGGGTGTGGGATTGTCACCATTGCAAATCCACATGGATTTATGGGTAGGGGAGGTGGGTGTAGAGGAGTGAGAAGTTGGACTCTAAGAAAAACAAGCATGTGATTTTCAAGCCAACAGATTTGACAAAGGCTGTGAAGTTGAACAGGCAATGCAAAAATAACAAGAAGGGGCCTAAAAAGAGTGGATAAACCATAAGCTATGCAAAAAGAAGCTTAATGCTAATTATATAGTGACAGAACAGGGCTTCTATGCTATGCTAAAAGTAGTATGTACACTAAATGCCTAATATAATTTGGAGTGTTAATATCAGGTGAATGATATTCATTTTGTTAGTGTTGCTATAAAATTTTTAATATGGCAAAGCAACATTAAAGGGGAGTTCCACCAATGTTTTCCATATACTTAACCTCTTGAGAAGCCCCAGTTTCTTGTTTCTAGAACTTCCCACTGTTTCTCATTGGCTATTTTCTGACATTGGGGTGTTTGTGCAGGCTTTATATGTTAGGCAAGTGTGTAATAAAACTAAGTTTTATTACACACTTCTATAACATAAGAATGGTTCGACCTGTTTGCATTGAAGTGCCTGCAGTTACTGAACAAAAAGCCTTGGTATGTAATAAGCCTGGGAATTTAAGGAGTTAAAGTGTAAGATTTAAACCTGTATTATGTAAGATTTCTTCATATTGAGAGAATTAGCATTACTGAGTCAGAAAAAGCTAAAATATGGTATTGCATGCCTCCCTGTAAAGCTTGAAATAATAATTTAAATTGTAGATCATTCACTTAAATCCTCAGAAGAAGCATCCTACACCAAGTTTTGACTGAGTTCTCTTTGAATTCTCTTTGATGCACTCCATATTCACAAAGCTTCTCAGAGTAGGAGCGCTGAACAGATCCTAGATCAGCACTCTTATTCCACGTTCTACATTTAAAGTCTCTAAAAGCTTCCTCACAGAAAGTAATTACATGGAATAATTATGAATACATTTCCTGAACCAGGAGACAATATTTTATGATACTTTTGAAAGAAAGTTTTGACCTGAAACATATTTTCTAAACCTCAATCATGGCGGAAGAGAACATATGGGGCACTGGGAGGCGAAAAGGTCCCAAAGGAAGCATATTGTGTTCAGATGTATCACTATTTCACTATTACCAACATTACATATACAACAACAGAAGACATGTAGGTTCACTGAGCATTGTGCATAGTAAATAAAACGGCTATATTTGTCCATTGGATATAAAAAGTCCATTGGACTTGATTACAGCACATAACGTAAATTTATAAGGCTTTACAGGGGCCGTTTGCCAAAGTCTAAACCTCTACAATGACTTTGCCTCTCCTAAGAAGCAGCTAACTTGGCTTCATGACGGGGCCCTGAAGGCTGAAGCTGAAGCAAATCGCCATGATAAATACGTATCCAAAGGCGAGCCGCCGCGCCTCCTGAATGCTAACGAAGCACACTTTTGTATGAGTGACAAGAGCCTACAATCTCTGTCACTCTCTGGGCCATGTAAATCCCAGGATGGTTTCAGACCCGCGGAAGGGCCCCTGCCCCTCACGTCTCGCCCAGCAACGGTCGCCATGGCAACCGGTGACTGAGGCATGTCTGGCCTTTTATGCTTTGTGCCAGTCATAAACGAAGATGAATCCATCAAAGCGCTTTATGGACAGCACACCAAGGGTGCAGAGCAATGAGCTAATACTTCTGACAACATAGTGCATGACAGTGGCCACATTAGGTCAAAACTGGCAGCCGGAACATTCTAAAGACAGAACAGAGGGTCTTTTTATTGGCATTTGGAGATGTAATTGGCCATCAAGTGCAGGGCAAGGCTTTATTCAGTGACATTTTTTCCCAACAGGGGTTTTCTGTGCAGTGGCGGAGAGGGTGAGCAGGGCGAGGTCTGAGAAAAGGGAGTCCACTCAAAAGAGACTCAAAAGACAACATAATAGTGCTGAGAGGCCATGGATCGGACTTTTGGCTTATCCAAAGCAGGAGACTGTTAAAGTATATATGCAGGAGTCATTAGGCTCAATGGAAGGGAGACTGGCTGTTTTTAAGACAACAAGGAAACTAAAGGGGAAGGCTATAGGGTCATTTCACACTAACACAGACTTCCATGCAAATCACTGAGTAATTTTTAAATAATAAAAAAAAATGAATGGGTATAAAAATACAACACTTTGAGCCCTGTTTCTAACGCTGGCGTATTGGGATTTTGGTTTGGCACAAGCATAGTTTTGCCCATAGAATCAGCACTTTTACATTTCCCTATTGGTTCATTCATCTTGAATGTTTGAGACAATGTAAACATTGTGTGAAATGGCTGAATGGACCAATTGAAATGCTCAAAATTTACTTGGAATAAAATCTCTTTATGTTAAAAGTTAAGAATGTTTCTGCTTCTCCTGTAAAGTTACTATTTGGGAATTTTTGTTAATTATTGCATTGTTACAACTATTAAAATGTGAAATCTATAAGATGATCAGATTATTCACTATTGACAGAAGTAATAAAACACATCTATTTTGTACAAAGGCACTACTGGGAAATTGTCATGCTGTGCCCCTTGCAGTCAAAAACCTTCTTTTGACTGGCTTTTTATGATTATATAAATTGGTATGTGTGTCAAATGTGTTGCAAAGATTTTTTTTTTCCTTTGAAAAACAGGCTAAGGTCTTCTGCAGCTTAGTTTTGTACGTCACAAATTGCATAGTTATGCATATACATAAATCTTTGATAATGTCCCCGCGGTCATTGGGCGGAAGGCAGGATGCACCCTGGACAGGTCACCAGTCCATCGCAGGGCAGACACACAGACATATACACTCACACCTAGGGGCAATTTTGTCCAGCTTTCCGGACTGCATGTCTTAGGAGGAAACCCACACAGGCACAGGGAGAACATGCAAACACCCACAGAGAGGACCTTGGCTGGGGAATCGAATCCAGATCCTTCTTACTGTGGGGTGACAGCGCTACCAACTGCACTGATTTTTGGTCGAATACTTCACGTTCAAAACATGATGAAACACTCATAGAACATCTGTGAATGTTGGAAGGGAGTATTAGTCCCTTTTGAGAAAATATAAGGTCAAAAAGGCCTATAAAATGGATTGTTTGGAAATTTTGTGTTGTATCTTCATATACTACATGCAGAAATTAGTTCATATATTTGAGCGAAAAATGCAGGAATCCTACACACAGCCTAAATACAAAATAATATAGAAAACTCACTATAATATGTAATGTCCAAAATGAAAGATTTATGCTCTGACATAAAAGGTTCAGCCACCAGTCAACATTTTGGGTCAGTTTAGTCATTCTGTAAGCTCAATATTTAAGATGCAATTTGTACCCAAAAAAAGGTTTTTATAAAAATTCTTAACTAAAACTAGTTTACTATAACTATTAAACTAGTAACTCTAAGTTTACATGAATTAAATAGATGTTTTTGCTTTTTTTTTTACCAGTTTATGTTAAATTCAGCAAATAAACAGTAATTATATAATTAAATATGTAGGAGTGGGTTCTCTGTAGGGGTTTTCTTGATTTTGTAAGTGAAAATAAGTTAGCACATCCAAACCTTTGCACATAACTGAAATGTACAGCTGGTCAAAATTAAAGTTCACTTATGAATAGAAACTTGAACACTGAAAATATGGTGACTGGATGCTGACTATTAGTGCTGTCTAATGCACTCAGCTGGAAAGAGTTTATTGGAGGCCAAACAGAAGTTGAGAAAAAAGAAGACACATTGACGTTTACTGTCTATATACATATGCTTTTACTTAAAAATGTTCTCAGACTCTTGCAAAGTTATCTGACAGGACAGTGCAAAACATTACAGTACAAAGTGAGAGATGTGCTCTGTAGAAATTTATTTCCCTCCTGTCGTGCGTCATCGAAGAACTGTATCAGGGGACTCATATTCAACATTATTCTTTAAAGACAGGTACATACTGGAGACACGTCAACAAGCTGTGCTGCTGAAAACTGAAACTAAAACTAAAATGAGAAACATTAGGAAAGTTTACAATTTTACTGACATGCAACAAACTGAAAAATAGGGGACAGCTACTGTACATGAGCCAGATAATAATACTTTATACAGTACATACACTGAAATATTAAAAGCTTAAGCCTAAGTGGTGAAAACTGCCACTTGTAATTTCATTTCCAGCTAAAAGAATATAAAAATAAAGCTAAACTAGGAAGGACCAAATTAATTGTGCTTGTGCATTTCAGCTAATGCAAGGAATATGAAAAAAAAGCCAATTTTTTTTTTCAAAGATCATTTCAAGAAACAATAAATTAGTGTAGCAAATACATTCCATGCTTTTTGTTATAAAAAATTACACCAATAACAACACCAATAAGATGCATTGGTATTTGATTAAGTAGTAGTAAACATTTCTAAGCATTTAAACGATGGAAATGAGAATCATACAACTCATCATCTGTATTTAGTCCTCTATTGCTACAGCAGACCAACTAAAAATGACAAAAATCAAGATGCAATATCACTTTGAGGACGTTTGGTTTCCATATCATGTTCCAGTTTTCAACAATAAGGAGTGCATTTAGGATAATATACTGAAAAAAATGCTTGTCCCTCTGGCTTTGCACCAAAAGCTTAGGCTCTTCTTAGAGCTTAAACATATATACGACCTGCAGTTCTATGGACTTTTGTAACGTTCCATTCACATTTCATCCTCTTCCCCATATTACTTGCTGGGCCTGATGGATCACTGTCTTGACAACATCCTTGCCAAAAATTAATTTGTGTGTACTAATGAAACTGTCATATTGCCAAGCCACAAATGGAAGGTTTACTGAAGTAGTAGTGTACAAGACAGATGTCTGATACAACAAATTTCATATAAGATCTTTCTAGTGGGTTCCCCAGTGACTGAACTAATAAGACTAAACGGACTTCCTCTGTAAATACACCTAAAAAACAACACAAAACACAAATGATTCATTTTCTGAAATTCAAATGCCCATTACTTTTGATGATGGGATCCTTTTAGCGCAAGGATAACAATGATGCAGGGGTCACCAATCCTTGTCCTGGAGTACCTCTGTCTTGCATATTTTAGTGCTTTTGCTGCTCCGATATATCCATTTTAAGTCAAACAGGGCTTGCTAATTAGCTGATTAGATAAGTTAGATGCATTGGAGCACAGATTCCCAACCCTGGTCCTGGAGTACCCCTTGTCCCACAAATTTTGTTTCCTTGCTCTAACATACCCACTTCAGCTCAGGAAGTGCTTGTTAATTAGCGGAAACGTTGAATCAGGTGTGTTAGGAGCAGGGAAAACTAAAATGTGTACTCCAGGACCAGGGTTGGGAACCACTTCATTAGAGCAAGCAACAAATACAGGGTAGGGGTACTCTAGATGCAGGCTCAGGAACCATTCATCTGGTGCTACGTAGGAGTGCGCAAGTTTCTGTTGGATAGTCCGCAAAACCTCAAACATAGCGCTCTCTCTGTCAGAGCCGGAGCATGAAAAAAACCTCATTGTCCGGACTGAGGGGGCTCTGGTGGGATGGGCCAGATGGAAGCTGACTCAGGAGGTCCAAGCTAGCACAGGGGCTTCGGGCCACACTACAGGCTCCCTCTGGGATGCCCCGCTCCTCAATGGGGCTTCCAGAAGACCTCAGAAGGCCTTGCAGCCTCTGCCTCTCCTGGGCCTGCCTGGCGCGGTTAGCAATGTAGCGAACACGGCTCTGGCTGCGTGAGGAGCTCCGCCTCAATGGGGGAGCCTCCTCTTCCTCCCCTTCTTCAGGTCCAGCTTCCGAGTCACGTCGTTGGGATGTGAAATCACTGCTCGTCAGTGGTTCCACATCAGTCAGCTGCTTCAGCCGCTCCGTCAGGTCATCCCGGGGTTCCTTCTTTTGTGCCCTGTGCTGACGGGTGGGCCTGGTAATGAAGCTGCGGCTGATGCTTCGGTACTTGCTGTCAAAGTTGCACACAATGTCATCAGATGTGAGATCACCCAGGCTCTTGGACTTGGAGCCAGCATCCGCATCTTTCATCAATAAAGAGGCTGCAGATCTTTTGGAGGAGGCAGACGACTGCTTCAAGCCCTCCATGTACAGCCTACTCCAAGTGTGACGCCGCTGCATTAGCCGGTTAGCATCATGTTCGCTGGACAGAGGCCTAGGCTGAAGCTCATCCGCTGGGTCACACATTTGCCCGTCGTGTAGATTGGGATTGGACTTGCTCTTGCTAACGCACACGGTCGTTGCCGAACGAGCCTGGGGAATCCAGCCGGCCTTAGCGGCCTGGCTGTCTGGACAGTCCCGGGCAGTAGCTCGAAGGCAAGTCAGGCTCTTTCTGGCCAGGTTGGGCAAGGAGAGGTCGATCACAGTGTCGCTGGAGGAGATGCTGGAGGAGGACGACACGCTATCCCGATGGCTGCCTGGATCCAGCTTGACCCAGAGTCGGTCGTTCACAGTTGCATCAATAGACACCTCAGGCACCACTGATGGCTCTTCGGTTGTCCTTACCTGCCCGACGCTTTTGGTCCTTCGGATGGGGGTCCTGGGACCGGGCTGTGAGCCTCGCCCCACATCCCTGTCAAACAAGGCCTTTAGGGCCTGCACCCTCTGAGCTGTAGCGGGATCAGCTGCAGTCTCTGTCTCTAAAGTCCGTCCTGTCTTAACAGCAACACTCGTGGCATCCTCTACCCTATTTCTTACAGAACATACTGCCTCAACTCCTGCTTGCTCTGGCACAAGGGGCTTATTGCTCCCAATATCAAGGTAATTCATGGACAGAGGACTGCTGAAGTGGTCTTCCCCACTGCTTATGTTGGGGGAAAGACAGTGTGCAGGAACGGGGAGCTGCAAAATGTCCTCATTTGTTTTTACAGGGCTATGGATGTCCTTCTTGGAAGTGGGTGTTATTGCTGTAGATGGTGGACGTGAACTAAAAGAGTGATTGGGGCAATGTGGTGAGGTATCGGCTGGACTGCTCATTGACGTCAAAGGAGTTTTCTCCTGAAATTCTTCAGCAATGGATTCCAGGAGGTGCACAGAAGGAGTGGGTCTCTGCACTGTGGAATGGTCTGCAAGAGCAAGACAAAAGGACAATGCTGAAGACTTTAACATAGTTTGTCTTCAACCCTGGTCCAGGAGAGCTACTTTCCTTCAGAGTTAAGTTCCAACCTGAATCCAATAAGCTGCCCCGCCGCTTATTTAACGCTAATACATCTGATCCAGCCAATCAGGAACTTGGGAGGTTGATTAGCTGGAGCAGATTTGGCAAACTGTGGTCGGAACAAGGCTCTGCAGAAAGGTAGCTCTAAAAGACCAGGGTTGGAGACCACTGCTTTAATGTAACATTTAAATGTACTGTTACTGTCATAAGAAAACTCTGTACCTCTGAATGAAATTTAGTTATTAGATTTTCTAATGACAGAAACAAGTAAACAATAAGAACAGAAAAAAACAGATTAGCAGTAGGTCATCTTGTGCACATAAATCAAAACACCTTAAATGTGTATCACAGTTCATGAATAGCCATAATGGCAGACAAGCAGATGAAACATCAGACACAGATGTGTAGCAACATGCCTGCATCATATACAAGACTACACTCATAAAACATAAATGTAAATATGAATAAAATAATACAAAAAAGTGTAATGTAAACTGTAATGAATGTAAAACAAGTTGAAATAGACGCGTTGCATCACATGACATCATGCAGATGGGCAAATTTAGATTTTAAAAAGATCAAGAAAATAATAACGTCGTTGGCGAACTCACCAAGTAAGCACAAGGCAAGACACAAGCAACATACACATTGGAAACACATGAGCACGGAGGGCAAGTTTACCTGGCTTTGGTCAGCCTCTCAGTTTTGCACTAAGGACAGAGAGCATGCAAGAAGGAAGGAACAAACAAATAGTTTAAACAGAGCTCAAGGAACCAAAAGAGAAGTCATCAGAAACAAAACGTGGAAGGGTGGATAATCAAGGAGAAAGGTTTTGAACAGATTGATTTTGCTGTGTAAGAATAAAAGAAGTTACAGACAGCTAGACCATGTATTTCAAGGTAAATTGTTTTGAAGGACATGCAACAATTATTTTTAAGTGATTAAAACCGAGAGAAATAGCACTCAAATTTGGATGCACTCATGATCAAGAAACCAAACTTTTGAAATAAGCCTTTAACAATATCTAACTTTTTGGCTTAACCCTGCCTTTCCACGCCAAGAGCGAGTGACCATTGCACTAAATCACCAATTACAAACTACACACATGTACAACTCAAAAACGACTCCATTCTGTACTACTAGCCTGTAAAATGCTTAAAATGTGATTCTACTCATTACTTTTTGAAGGCCTATATTGAAAATAAAAATATACATTTTTTTTGTGTTTGTCGTCTGACTGCAAACACTAATAGAAAAAGCTGTTCAGGAAATTCTGACTGTTTCTAGACTGAAGCACCACATGGAACTCAGGCATCAAGACTAAGAATTTGTTTACTTAACACTGTATGTGAACTCGTTGTGTAATACTCACTTCCTGCTGCAAACACTGCACAGGAAGCACACCGAGAGTAAAAGACAGTTGTGGCTATAAAACTGTCCCGAGGGCTGAGGAACAGCTGGGCTGCATTAGCAAAAAAGGGGGTGGAGGACAGAAACATCTCCCCCGCTACTTATGTAAGAGTTTATGACTGCACTTACGTCAGATTACACAATGTCACTTTTGTAGCACTTCATAAAGAAAACATCTGCAAATTTGATATCTGCTATCAGATTTTACCAGTTCATATATAATATTCCACCTAATGTAGTACATAAAACTGAGTGTAATTTTATCTGGTTGGTAAAAGCACCAGACATTCACAGACCAAAAGGTTTTGATTACATGAGCGCTATTTAATTACAGATTTTACACTGGCTCGATATCTTTTTTGGGACTGCAGAGGGGTTTTGCCTTTGCTGTACCACTTTTCATATATCAATGCCAGAATCATCTGATAAATCATATACAGACTAATATATGTTTAAACAACAGGCACCGTGTAAATCATTATATGCTGTAAAACTCATTTTACTATGGTTATAAAATTTACTGGGGAGTCCAAATAGACAACAATAAGAATCTATCTACTGGGATCTACTAAAGTGTGCTACTAATGGACTGTAGCTAGACTATTAGTGCTAATCTTGAAACTTACCTGTAAATTTAGACTATATAGATATGACCTAGACAATAGAGGCTGCTATTCATTTTTCCCATATCTTTATATTTATATTACACTACCATTCAAAAGTTTTGAATCCCTGTGTTTTTAAAAATGTATAAAATGATGCAAATATGTAATAGTGAGCAGTATACAGGCCGAAATTCTCCCTCTTGCATGAGTTTTGTTAGGACTGTTATGCTGGTATGCCACAAAAAAGCGGAGATAACGCAACATACAAACAGAGCACGCCAAGCTAACTTTACCATCACTGGATGGGTGACTAGGCCAGGGATGTTCCATCATGCTTCAAATTAAAATGAAATTACTTTCCACTGTCTAGTCTGTTGTGTCTTAAATAGTCCACTTAGGTTAGCCTTAGCCCAACATGGACACCAGACTGTTTAGGCCTGGCTGAAAAGTCGCCTGTAGACCAGCTGGTACTGACACCATCTATAACTGCAATATTTTTCAAATTCCAGCAGCCAATCGAAGGCAAGATAAGACGTACGTATGAGACAGAAGACTGAAAAATTCAGCAAAGCTAAAATTGGCTTCTTATTCGAATCGCCTGCTCCACCTTAAATGGTGCAACAGTTACATTCAAGTAGAATGTAACTGCTGTTCCATTTAAGGTGGCATGGACAAAAAATTGAAACAAAAAGCTGCCAAATGAAAAGCCAGCTTCAGCACTGTAGAAATCCAGATATGACTGAAGATTTTTTGCCAGAAAGTAGCCCTGACGTAAAGTGGCATCCCAGAAAAATAAGCCAATCTGATTATTTTCGATTATCAGCAGAGTAGAAGATGGTTTCATAGTAACTGAGAAAGCTGTACAGCCTTGAAAATGAACTTTAAAATGAATATGCCTCATATTAGAAAGGCAGTGACCAAATATTACTGATCAAATAGCCATTTATTGTTACTTTCACAGAAATACTATAAATAAATAATTACACTTAAATACTTAATAATATTTACCATTATTTATGTTCAAAACTACCCCTTACTGTACATTTTGGTGTCCAGTTCATAACATTTCAGTTTACCCTGTGCAAGTTAAATAACAATTACTATATGACGAGTGATTCCAAACTTTCGAATAGTAGTGCACATTTATGGCATTTGGAAAATGCTCTAATCCAGAGCGACTTGCAATACTCTCATGTTACAGAAGTAAGAAAACGCAGGAGTCTTGTCCAAGGATTCTTTTTGGTATAGAGTGGTGTTTTTGCCTAGGAGGGCAATTAACCCCATACTGCCACATGAAGGGCAGTGACATTACCGGCTATGCTATATTAATTAGAACTTTTCATTTATAATTCATTTAAAGATTCTCAAAGTTTTGTAAAACAGAGGCAGTTTAAACTCTCATGCCAGTGTGGTCACTGTCAAGATCAATTTCACTGAAGAACATTATCCTACTGTTCTCCTCCCGATGGTATGTAAACCAAACTTAAAATGTGTCATAAGGAAAATGTCTCATAAGTGGACACTGGATAGGGTGTTCCATATCCATTAGCCATAAATGTACTCCCATCTGACCTCTGTGCAGATCAGCTACGGGTACAGAAAGTATCCACCACTTCTACAAAGGATTCAGATGCCAAAGCAGACAGATGGAATCTGCTAATGGGAGAGAGGGGGGGTCCATTACAGGCTTCGGGGTCCACTACAGCACTGTAATCAACTAGATCTTGGGAGACCTTCCAGGAAGCTACTTTGATCTTACCAGCAAAGAATAAGGGGGATTTACTGCGGATCTCTTCCATTTTTTGGGCAAACAGCGCATTCATCTCCCTCTGCAGCGTCCCCACTGCCCGCTTCCGGTTGTCCATCACCTGTGGTGGAATCACTGGTGGCAGGTCCAGACTGTCCAGACTACTGCAGCTGCTCCAGTGGCCGTTGGAAAGGCTTTTACCATCGTTCACAGGGCTAGCAGCCCTGCAGTTGCTGCCATAATTTGGTGGGGCAAGACCCTGCCTGCACAAGCTAGTTTTGCTGTCTGGTACAGGAGGAGCTGGGGTGGCAGGCGGCTGAAGACGCCTGCGAGGTACGCTGCATGAGCGAGCATTTCTGGCCGAAGCATCCTGAACAGGGGGACGGGTCGGAGCACCCAGTGTTTGTCTAGCTTTTGATCGAACCCTAGGCATTGGAATAGGCTTGGAGGATTGAACCTTAGGCTCAAGATCAGGTTTTGATTGCTTTGACTGCTCAGGTTGAGCCAAGGCTTGAGGTTTGGGGCCAGGCTCTGGCTGGACCTGCCGAGTGGCTATGGGAGACAAAGATGCCCTTTCTGGCCTAGAAGTGGGCTGGCCTGCACTGCGAGGGGCTGCTCGTTACCTTCCTCTCCAAGTCGGGACTCTCCTTTGACCCAATCACACACTTGATGCAATTGGATGTCATTCCTACACGACCAGAGCTGTTGACTGCGACACGGGCAAAGACGCCCTGCTTCTCCTCCAGTGGATCCTGCAACCTCAACCTGTTGGCTCTCCTCAGAGGCTCGCTCATTGCCCCCCTGTTATAGAAGGGCTTGGCCCGAGGCTCGGGGCGGAAGAACGCAGCCTTACCTTTGCTGTCGTCCGGGTGGAGCTGCCCATTGGTGCCATGCTCCCACTGTTGCGCCGCCGAAGCCGCCGCATCCCCATTGGGGTGGGCGGCCGGGCCCTCCTCCGACTCGCGCTCCTCGCTGGCTCCCTCCGAACTGCAGTCTTTGGTGTCGATGGAGATCTCGGGGAAGCCGCGCTTGACTTTGGGTTGGCCCTTTGTGGGCGCGCTGGCCGTACGACGAAGCAGGTGGGCGCCAAAGGGTGGTTTACGGCCGCGCAGCGCAGCAGCATGGCTGTCCAGAGAAGCCTGCTTTGGGTTTCTGTGAAACAGCCCTTTTATACCGCTGGCTGCCCGCACCTGAAACGGGAAAGGCAGCATGAGTCTCTGGAGACTTCAGGGAACAACAATTACCTGGAAATGGCTTCTTGAGAAAATTCTAGGGACAGCCTAAAGTAAAGAGTACAGAAAATGAGCAGGCAGTGATCTTGTGCCAGGTGTTAGGTGTATATGATAAGTAATCATGCTACAGATAGAAGTTAATACTTTAAAATGCTAAAATCTTCAACAATTACCTACTTTAAAAAGTCAAACTGGCTAGTTTGTCACAGTAAATTTGACTCATTTGTTCAAGATAATGGAGTAGCTAAGGCATTTTCTAAATAAAGATAGCGAGACAGAAAATTCTGGTACCATGTAAAATGATAATGGAAAAAGGAACAGTTAGTGTTTCAACAGTGTTACTTAAACATAAGCAGCTCTTCATCCAAAAATGCTTAGAAGGCTAAAAGAGATACAAGCTATCAGGTACTGTATCAGGAGCATGACCTCACTCATATTAATAGTTCCATTATTTAATTCATATGGCTGGCCCTTACCAGAATTTATTCATTGATAGTAACATTATACATTTTTGGGTGAAGGTTTCCATTAAGTTGTTGCTTTGGTACATACTGAAAATAACATTGTTTGCACAAACAGCAAGACAAGTGCATGACCTACTGAAACGCACAAAACAGACTATTTTTCACACAATTCATTTGTGTGATGCATATTTGACCGAGTGTAAACATAGAACTGAGCTAAATGGAAATGGAGACCAAGGTGGAAATGCAATGAGGTACAGAGATTCATTGGTGGGACTAGACATTGAAATGTTGGATAAAAATGACACTGGGTTATCTGTTCTTCACACTGAAAGTGATAGTTTGATTAATTTAGCCTGAAATAATAAATGTTACTTTCCTACTTACTACTAATTTCTAGTCTTGCGGGGCCAGATGTGATCTCGTAATGAGAAAATCTGGGGGCAGCCATGAGAAATTTTGGGCTAAATGTATGTGGGAACAAACCGAGTGTGAAATTGCTAAAAAAATGATGTCTTGTGAAGACAGAGGTCAAAGTTTGGGGGGCAATGATGCGCTGTCATTAGCAGACGGATGGAACGTAAGTAAGCATGGCTGAAAAATCCCACCAAGAGAGCTCCAATTAAGCATGTGTCACATTTGCGGAGTACATGTGGTAAAAATAAATTTCACCTCTTGTAAAAGAATAACAGTTCTTTTAGCTAATGTTAGTGATTCGCTGGCTAGCTTGTTTTGCTTGTGTTATCAATTGTACTCTGGATGTTAAAAGAGCGGGTTTAACAAGTTGCCCCTAGATGGGCGTTTTAGCTACAAGATCACATCTGGCCCCATGAGAGTAACTGATTACTTGAACCATATGCGCAGTGTATTTATCATACGTATATGAAGATGAGCATATAAGAGCAATTCATTCACGCTGCTGTACATTCTGCAAGGCATTGCACCCAATGTCATTTCATGAACCATGTCAAAGTAGATCCATGTAAAATGTGCTTAATATATTGACCATCTCCTCAGCAAACGCAACTGTGATGTGCCAAGGTGTACAGGTAAAGGGTTAAGGAAGTGACGTTCTCTGTGCATTGTATTAGTTCAGTTCAAACAGCCAACTGTAGCTAGAGAAGATTTATGTTAAATCTACCTAATCTATCTTTTTATGTAGTAGGGATGTGCATTTCAAGTAGTTTTAAGTATCTGCAGGAGTTTATGAACAGAAATCAGGCTAACCACATGAATTCATGGAAAAACTTGGGCAAAATTAACATAAGAAGGGCTGTAGCTGATAGGGCTGAGGCTTACTCTTTTAGGTGATAGCTCTGATCTTAACAGGCTAAAAAAAAAATTAGTAGCACCAAAATTTCACAGCAAGCAACTGTCATACTGGCTAAAACCGTATATGGAAAAACAATGTATTTGCTTTAGATATATTTGCATGCATTTTTAAAATATTCTAATTCATTATACATTATTATATATTTTGCACAATACAAATATATATATATATATATATATATATATATATATATATATATATATATATATATATATATATATCGCTACATAATATATATATATATGTTGAAGAAAACCTCATATCCCCAAAATGGTAACTTTACAAGAGAAGGAAAAAACCTTCTCCAGATTTTTTCCCACGTCATTTTGGGTCATTTCTTTTGAAAAGAAGTGGGTGAAAATTACTTGAACAAAAGAGACACAAAGTTTTGTTGTATACAGCATATATTTCCACTATTATTTAGTTTAAACATATACATATATATATATATATATATATATATATATATATATATATATACATACTCACGTCTGTGTGCATATATACGTTAAAAATATATTGTGTAAACATATGTTTACACTAATAAAAATCAAATACATTCAAACAATTTGTTTAAAATAAATGTATTTTACTCAAAACATACATTTCCACTTAATGTATAAAAAAAAATAAAAAAAATTATGTATTAAGATGTGTAATGTTTTATAAATAATGTATTTAGAATATATTTAGATATCACTAATATATTACAGTACATTTGTTATATATTTTACTGGACAATGTGTTGATACTTATTTTTTCTAAATAAATACTCAACTAATGATTTCAGTGTTCTAATACTGACACTTTGAATGGTTAACTAAGTATTTAAGTACCTGTGCACATCCCTACTATCTAGCTTGTCTTTTTTAAACAGAACACTCAATATATTCAAATTTACTCTAAGTGAAGCATAACCAGGAGCAAAATACCAAAGACCATGTATATGACCCCAATTTGGGTAATCTATCAATTTGGTAACTACAAACAGTGCAACAACAGACTGGTTACATCCACAAAGGATACATCTGCTGATCCAAACAATATTAAAACACCCAGCTAAATCCTCATCTCACAAAACAGAACACAATAAAGAATACCTGGGAAGCTCCAGCTCTTCATCACCACAACAAAACGTCAGACTGTGACTGAATAAGCATTGTCCGGCATGCTTTCTGATATTACAGACATGGGGACAGTGCGCTCATACGCTTAAAGCTCTGCCACACGGAATGCCCTGATATTGCTAACAAGGCATCCGAGGCCGTATTGCAGACTGAGAATCTCCTGAGTTAAGTGAAATAAGAGGAGGCGTTGTCTCCCCTGGAACGCAGTGTCTGATGCTTTTTTTTCCCCTCCGATCGCCTGCAGCAAGGAACAGGGACACTGGATCTGCTTAGGGGTCGAATGAGAATGCTGGCGAGGTATAGGCAGTCACAATTATGTCACAACTCATTTTTGCATGAGTTGGCAAGGTTGAATGCTAGCACATGAGGCCAGGCTTGGTTGTTCACTTGAGAGGGGGGCGGGGCACAGGGGTTTGGGGGAGGGGTCATGTGGCACATGCAGGGTGCTGATTGCGTCTCACTACACCTGAAGTTTGAGCGACAGCGTCAGGGCTCCTAACACTTTCCTGCCTCTAAAGACAGCTTTTGGACTAAGCTGGTTGCACTGAAAGCAGAAAGAGAAATAGAGAAAGAGAGAGAGGGGTCAGAGACAGGAGGAGAAAGAGAGAGAGAGAGTGAGAGAAAAAGAGAGAGGGGGGAAGACTATACAAAGAGAGAGAAAACTAAACAAAGACAAACATATCTGTAATCATCAGAATAAAATGGAGACAGTTTATGAAAAATGGCAAAAAAGGGCAGCATTAAGGTGCATATGAACGAACTTAACACTTCATTTAACCATCTAGTTTGATCACTGAAAAGTAATTTGTGAAAATGACGTAGGCCGAAATTGCTACTGTTGAAATGAATAAAGTGACGTAGTTACTATGATCAGCCAAAACGCTGTCTGTTGTAATATTTAATGCTTACTCAAATCTTTAGCATTCCATGGCAACTCACCTGTCTGGTGATATCCTGGATTTCCATTTTAAAAATTCAAGCGTAAACTTTATTTATGCACTCATGCAAACTTTTAAAATTTGTAGTTCAAACTGCTTTTTAGTTACGAATTCTTAAAAGTTTGCCCCAAGCAAGGTCTGAATGGCTAATCTTTTAGTCAAAACAGCGATTAAGTTCATTTGTCAGGAGATTAGATACAAGATAATGCACTTGCAAAGAGAAGCAGAAAGTCAAAGGAAAATAAGTGGGAAAAAATACTTTTGGAGTTCAAAAAATTGTTAGAAGACCTGGAGAAAATGAGACTCCTAATAACCATGCAAGACCTGGGAGTCCACCAAAACTGCCACCATCAAGGAAAACAGTGCTTGAAACATTCATCTCCGAGAGAGCTCCAATCAAATCGAGCTCCACACTAGCTTCAGTCTTATTTTTCTATTAAATATGTTTTTTCTGCTTTTTTTTCCCTGATGCTAGACAATGAAAAACTTGTACTTATTGCCTTACTGACAGTCTCTGACTGTATTTTGAGAAAATATAGGGTCAAAAAAAGGACTCAAATGCATTTTTAGTTGCACACATTAATAATTCACAGGTTTGATTGAAATGTAGGAATACAAATGCAACATTCCAGCTTCATTTACTTGAATTGCTTCATTAAAAAATCCAGGATGTGACCAGTCAAGCCCTAGGTGAGGTGCCAGGGAACGACCCTTTACTCTTTTACAGTAACATTAAAGACAGAAGGCATGGAATTGAAAAGGTAATTTCTTATCTCTATTTCCAGCCACTTATGTAACAGATTATATTATGTAAGAAAATGTCCCCAAGAATAAAAAAGAAAAGGGCAAAGTACCCATGTATTAATATATTAAAATACAAACAGAATTTGAGTACAAGGGGTAAAGAAACAGTCTGGACAAAGAGAAGCAAATAAATAAAGAAACACTAAGCTGCATGACAAGGAGAACTATGTTGAAATGTTCTTGTACCTCCTTATAAACACTGGAGTACCTACCTTACCAGTGATGTCATTTACAGCCACATGAACAAAGATCGACGCCTCCTCCATCCCTTCTAAATACACATGGCGGTAACCTGCAGCACAAAAATCAGCCCTCTCATCAGCTACTGAACTGACAGCCACTAGCTGACATACAAAAAGGAGGAAGTCGATTCGAACACAGAGGAAAATGAACGAGCAGTGAAGTAATGGATACCTGGGATCATGCTGTTGAAGGCGATGGTCCTCTGGCCAATGAAATCTTGGCCAATGGGGTCGTGATCCCAAACCAGAAAACGCACAAGTGCAATCTCCGGCATGTGTACAGTGAAGACCAGGGTTTCCTCCCACATCGGGTTGAACCCTGAGAGAGAGAGAGAGAGAGAGAGAGAGAGAGAGAGAGAGAGAGAGAGAGAGAGAGAGATGGGTAAGGCAGAGACAGAAGGCAGAGTGAAAAAGGCATAAGGGGAGTGAAAGAGATATAAGGCAGAGAAAGACAAAAAGAAAGAGAGGTAGAGAGAGAGAAAAGATAAAGAAAAGGAGATAAAAGGTGGATAGAAAAAAGAAAGAAGGCAGAGTAAGAGAACATGAGACATAAGGCAGAGAGAGAAAGAAGGCAGTGAGATAAGGCAGAGTGAGAGAAAGAAGAGGGAGACCAAGAGAGACCAAAAGAGACCAATAAGGCAGAGAGAGAAAGGAGAGAGAGAGAAGTGGAAAACAAGTCAAAACTGATTTTTCAGCATTCATGAATAATTCAGCTGGTTAGTGTCTGAGTGATACAGTTCACCAGTGCTAGCGTCATGCATAATACACCCTCCACACGTACACAGCTACAAAACACTGCTCCCTTAAGACCCCACAGTAATAACTGAGCATAAACAATGCTGCACTGCAGACTTTAAGCTTTCGTCTCTGTGCTGTGTGACTCACCGTTGTCATCCACGACCCTGGTCTGCTCCTTACAGCAGTCTATTGGCAGGCCGATTATTTCAACTTCCACAAAAGGATCAATGATCTGAAGAATACAAAGCAAAAGATCTTTCACAACTTTAGCCCTTTAACCTTCACAGCATCAACTGCACATTTTGTTGAGAAAGGCTGAGAAATATATTATAGTTTTAAAAACTACAGCCTTCACCTCTCCTCGGTCTCCCAGCATGGAGTCTTTGGGTTTGGGCAACTGCTGGCCACTGATAATCTTCAGCACCAGCTGTTTCCTCATCTGGCCAGGCAGGGGGTCCTCCAGCATCGGGTTGAAGGGGCCTGCCGTGAGGATAAAATGAAAGTAATTTTCCCCTTTAGGTCATATTTTCATTTAACATTACCTGCAATGTCAATATTTATTATTATTTATAATATATATTATTGTTTTAAATTGGACCGAACCACATGTTTATTCAGTGCTATAACTGAATGCTTTGCAAGGCCATCTACCCACTCTTTGGTTTAGTCCAGCTAACTAATGAAATAAAATAAGACACATCAAATATCACTTTTTAATAAACTGTTTAATTTTGAAAATATGTTTAACTGTAACTGTATGGCCATTGGCTATTGTTTGCAACATAAAAGAATAAATTAAATAAATAAATAAATAAATCAGCAGAACATCTTTTTAGAAGGGAAAAAACAAAAAAAAACTAAAATCCTGTATTTTCATAAGGTAAAATATATTAAATAAATTAAAAAAATAAAAACAATCACTTCAATTTGTCAGTTCCCTGACAACACAAGAGCATGAAGTGTTCATTAAAAACAATCTTTATAAATTTTTAATTTATTTTTTAATTTATTTAAAATTTATTTTTTAATTACATTTTTATTGTATAAACTTAGAATAAAATTTAAAAAATGAATCAAGGTTATTTTTAATGAACACTTCATGCTCTTGCACTGTCAGGAAATGGATAATTTGAAGTGACACAAGTTTTCACAGTAAATGTTGCCACTGTTTAGTTTTTGACTATTAAATGCTTTTAATTATTATATTTTTTTTCTTTTTAACAAGTCATGTTGTTGCTTCCCTATTCAGTCCATTAATAGTAATTAACAATTAAACGTGAAATTACTTGCTTTCTGGCCTGATCTCTAGGCTTCTTGTCTCTGGGTCTACATCCAGACCGCAGTTCATCAGTTGGTGATCTCTGGTTTAGAGTATTCCAAAATCACCATACCTTGTCCAGTTCCTTATCTGTTCTCAACTCTTTTCAGAGTGACTTTTTCCAAGCTCAGCTAAGGACTGGACTAGCAGCAACCCCCTGACAATTTAAGGAGTAAATACTTGACGGAAGCAAAATTTGCCTCCAATGGGGTAAGATCAATTTCATTTGATAAGGTTATTGCCTAGAAATATGCTGAGCAATGCAATTTGAAAAGCACTAGGTAGGAAAAATGACCTCGAGAGAAATATTACATTTATTGTCCACATTCAAGATTGACTTGCTGTCATTTTTTGCAGTGCAGTTGCACCTCTGCAAAAGTACAAGACCACAGAAAACTGTCATTAAAAAGCCCCCCTTCCACTGTCACCAGTGACTTCAGTGGCCTCATGCTCTGCTAGACTGCTTTATGCCATGATTTACCCATAAGCACTTGTGCAGTATTGATAAAAAAAAAGTACTGCTACTCAATGCTAAAAAATGTCTTGCAAACCTGACATAGCTTGATTTGATTGGATGGTTTTGCTCCATTCTGCTTCTCTTAAAAAAAAACACACACACACTGTACCAATAATTCTATAATAATAAACACTGTAAACCTCCTGCTAGTGTGGGTCCATGGCTGTTTTTTCTCTTTAAATTGCACATACAAAAGCGACTTGCCATGCTAACTCCTCCACTCCAGACTGCTAAATGAGCATGAGTTCAAAAATGCTTTATAGTTTAAAAAAAATAGTTTGTGTCATTATAGTGGAGAAGTTCTGGACTTCAGCAATAGATGTATGTGAGAAACCATGAAGTGTTATATTTTCATGATTTTACAACTCATCTGATCCACTGGGACACTTAAACTGAATGGAAAATATGGAGAATTTCTCTCAGATGGTATGTCACATACAGGAAACCCTGGCAGAGATAGATATGATCCATTAATGTGCCAAGATAGTCCATTTTTATGACAGTAAACAGTTTTAACAGAATTAAAAAAAAATAATAGATATGCTGTGTGGCAAAAGAACACTGCTATTTTATAGAATAGAATACAATATTTCTTATCAACACCAGTACAGTCAATGTATTGCACAGTACCTGGTAATGCTCAATAAATAAATAAAAAAATAAATAAATAACCAACCTACTCACCTTCACACATGCACTTGGGTTTCAGGACGTAACCGCAGTTGCCATTGGTGTAGAACTTGGCTCTATTCAGCTGAAGGACTCGGCCTTCGGACTGGTAGTTTAAAGCCACTGCACGCACATACACACACCATAAAGAAAAATAAAGAAGAGAGTATCTTATCACACTCAGTTCATATGTGTATATATATATATATATATATATATATATATATATATATATATATATATATATATATATATATGAAAACATTGTAATTAGCCATCCTGTTTGATTTAGATAACTACGCAACTTCTGAAATGTAAATTCCTATCAAACTGTCGAATAAACCCTGCAGCAACCCAGTCAGTGCAAAATCACTGCATACTTCTAGTGACACTCCTCTTACTTATTTTGTTCATTATATACTCATTATTTTACTCTACTCTTTTCCCAAAAGTGAGTCTGAGTGTCTGTGCGGTTTTGGCAGCGGGCCGTGGCTTACCCAGATGGCAGCCAGCATTCCAAAAGGGCTGCGGGTTGAAGTTGCTGGAGTCCACGCGGTAGGACGAGGGATAGACGCGGGACAGCTGCCGCTGGTTAAAGCGCACAAACTGTGCCGGCTTCTGCTGCATCAACTGGTGTGCCTTGGTCTCACTCAGTGATGAAACCTGCCAGCTGCTGCCACCTGCCAACACATTACAACAACGCTTTACATACGGACATCGCTTAGAATGCACATTTGTTGGTATCTTTAAAAAGTTGAGATAAGCAATACAGCCAGTGTTCAGACAGGTGACAAATTAAATGTAATACATAATGAACTACTTGATATTTATTATTTTCATTGCAGAGTGAAATAAATACACTTACAAATACAAAGTAAAACCTTCAGTAAACGCTGCCAGACAGGTGTACCACATTATAGAATTAAGCAACTAACTCCCTACCATGCTCTGTGGCTTTTACAAAAACACTGAGGAGGTCTAGTTGACTTGATTTTGGATCAAGATGGCAAAAAAAAGATCTAAGTGACTCTGAAATGGGGCTGATTATTAGGGAACAGATGGCAGGAGCTTGTCTAGTGTTTCACACTAACTAAATTGACACATACATTTAGGTTTATGGGAAAGACATCAGTAAACAGGGTTGGAAATCAGACTGAAAGTGCTCAATGCTTCAGTGTGATATGTGAGGAACATGGAAGAAGAACTATTCAACTGACATCAACGCAGGATGTGATTAGACTGTATCAATAAAAGCAGTCAATCAACAACTACATAGCAAGGGATATTATAGTATGGTTTCAGGGCATAAACCCCTTATTAAAAGATGAATGCACATTTGAGAGTTTAGAGGTGTAAAAGCTACAGGCACTGGTCCACAGGGATGAAAATAAGAAAGTAATCAGATGGTCAGATAAGTCATCCTTCACCATATTCTCCAAAGTGGGGGAATTGCATATCCAGAAGAACTGTATAGGCCTGCATGATTGAACCCTACAGTGAGGGGGTTTCGTGGCTCTGTTATGCTGTGGATGCATGTTTTATTGGTGTGGTTTGGTTCCACTTCAAAGCAGGTCATTTCAAATAAATACAAAGTTATCACCCTTCTCCTATGTGGAAAAATTCTATCCTGACCACAGTGGTCTCTTCCAGAATGACACTGCCCTATCACCACGCCACGAGGGAGCACTGAATGGTTTTATGAGTATGAAAATGAAGCCATTCAAACGCTATGGCCTCGGAGGTGCTAGATCTCAACCCAGCTGAACACCTATGGGATATTCTGGACAGACATGTGAGACAATGTTCTCTACCACCACCATCACCAAACCACCAAGTGAGGGAATATGTTTTGAAAGAACAGTGGGCAGAATATGGGGGCAGTCACGGGCTGGAAGTTAGGGAACCAGCCTTGTGACCGGAAGGTCGCCGGTTCGATCCCCTCAGCTGACAGTACGTGACTGAAGTGCCCTTAAGCAAGGCACCTAACCCCCAACTGCTCTGGGCAAGCATGCTCACTGCTCCCTAGTGTGTGTGTGTTCACTAGTGTGTATGTGGTGTTTCACTGCACGGATGGGTTAAATGCGGAGGTCTAATTCTGATGTGTTCAGACGCAGTTGGCTAAAAGGTTCAGTTCATTTCATAATTTCAGTGTTCTGTCCCTCCAGTACACTTCCAGAGACTCATAGAATCTGTGCAAAGACATATTAAAGCTCAAGGCTTGTGGTGCCCAACACCTTGCTAAGACATTTTTCCTTTGTCATCATATACCATCTTTATATTATGATATATCGTGTCACAATATAAGCTCCCCGGACTAAAAATTAGTCAGTAACTTCAGGCTCCTGCAGATGGCATTGCACAAGGATGATCGGGCTATAAATACCTGTGGGGTATGTGATGAGATTCATAGATTGAGAAAAGGTGGTACAGTGCAGTGAATGTCTCGTTCGATGTGTGGAAAATGGGTCACAAAGCAGATGTTAATGATTGGCAAAAAGGAGTGATAGCATTTGGGTGTGCCGAAAGGCCAAAGTGTGAAGGAAGTAGCTGAATTCACAGGTGTATTGAGGTGTGCGGTCATACTGGTCTATCAGCAGTGGCAAAAATCACAGTCTACAGAAAATTTTTGTCAGAATTGTGGCCAAAAGACGAAGCTGATCGACAGGGACCACCGCCAGGTTTTCACAGATTGTGAATAAAAACTGCTTCACTTCCAGGCAAGAACTGCTTCTAGAACTCAACGCAGGTCCTTCACAACCAATTTCTGAAAGAACTCTCCACAGGAAACTGCATAGCATGAATGTATAGAGCAGAGTGGCATGCAAGAGGCCTTTGCTCACTTATGCTTCTGTATCTCATTTCTGCCTGTATGTGAATTATGCTAGGCGTCGGGTTCACTGACCTCAGGAAGCCTTCAATGAGGACTGCGTGCGAGGTATGGTTCAAGCTGGAGGAACTCTGTGATGTTCTGGGGGTGTTTTAATTATGCAGAAATGGCTCCTTTGGTTGAGGTGACAGTAAATTTGAACTACAGTGCCTACATTGAGCTGCTGGACAACCAGGTTTTGCCTTTTGCTGATCATCTTGCCAAGGAACATAACATTCCTATCCCTGTATTCCAAGATGATGATTGACCGATTGGCAAAATGAACATTCAGGTGCATTCACACATCTGAACTGGCCCGCAAAATCCTCAGATTTGAATCCTCTTGAACAAGAAAGACGCCAGGGAAGGCATTCATGAAATCTGGCTGAACTGCGCATTATGTGATGCAAGAGTGGCTGAAAATTGAGGTTGCCTACATCCAGAAACTTGTCTAGTCCATGCCAAACCGAATCACAGCTGTTATTTTTGCTCATGGAAGTATTACATGCTATTAGGTATGTTTTAGTCACAGGTGACTACATTTATGTCTGGTGAGAAACTATATGCAAAGCTATTAAGCTGTCAGTGATATGTAGCTCATCATAACAGCATTTCCTTCCTCACCTTGTGTCTCCAGGTCTTGCATGGCCACAGATTTTGTATATTTCACCAGGTCAGATAGAGCCCTGGACAATTTCATGGTTTTCTTCCTTCTGTGGAAACAGTAACAGCAGGTAAGCATCACACACACACACACACACACACACACACAGAGGTGTGTATACTCAGTGATCAAGTATAATCCTACCTGCTATGGTGTAAGGGGGCTTTGGAGGCGCTGCTGGAGCTTTCCTGATCCGTGTCTGTGTCCTCAAAACTGGACGCCTTCTTCAGCTTACTTGTCTTTTTCTGTAATGCACAGCACAGCAGTGGATCAACAGCTCAGCGCTCTTCAAAACAACCCCAAAGACATTGTGAAAGCATGTGCATGTGGTTGCGCCTAAACATACTTTGCGTTTAGAGAAGCTGCCCATGAATGACCTGGCCAGACGTTTGTTGGTGCTGGGGTTGGCCTCGTCGCCAGTGTCCATCGCATCATCTCCTTTCCCCTGAAAACAAGCACAAACTGTATCCAGTTTCGCTCTTACAAGAATAGAAAACAGTGCTTTACAATACACATAAAATCTATGTACTACTAAATCCCACCAATGATGGAGCAGATATAAGACATTAGGTAAAGGTTCTATACCACTTTGAGGATTCTTCCTAAACCTAAACACTCTGTAGAATCATTTACAAAAAATTTTTTTGGGAACCATCCACTGAGAGGTTCTTTAGTGAACCAAAAGTGGTTCTTCTATGTCACTATGCACAGAATCCTTTTTGGCACTGTTCGTTTTGAGGGTGCAGTAGCCACAGGTCTCAAAGCCCAGATAACCAATCTGAAGCTACCATATTTTGGACAAATTCTCAGAAGAACCAAATGTTTGGCCACCACTTATTTTAACTTCTCCCCTCAGACAGGCGCTTCATTTTTACAGGAGCTTAAACAGCCAGGCTCTGGAAAACTTTCTTTTCTTGCACCATTCCATTCAAGAACAGTTAATGGTCACAAGCACTGTCTGTGGTACTGTCATCTTATTTCACTGTTTTAAATGACCTATTTAACATCCGGCTGCTAAACAGGCTGCTGGGCAGCCCGGCCTGAGGTGGTTAAGGTGAATTAAATTACAATTAAATTAAACATTTGGAAACGTTTCTACTTGTCAGCAGCTGAATGGATGCAATTGCACAAAATGTGTGCTTGTAAAGAAATCCAAGACCCTATAGAGCAAGCCAAAGGTAACCGTGGCAAGGAAGACTCCTTAAGAGCGAGAGGAAGAAACCTTGAGAAGAAAAAAGGCTCAGAAGGGGAAGCCATTCAGTTGTGGTAGACACCAGATAGCAAAACAGTAACACTATAATATCAATGTAAGGTATGAGAATTTTGAATGTAGAAACAAAGTGAGTCTAATCATTAGAAGCGAATCAGATGAGCCAAGGATGCTGGAAGCCTATCAAAGGCCATCTAAAAAGAAAGAAAATTTAATCCATGTGAGGAACCAGAACAGGTAAGGAACTCCGCACAGTGCAAGACAGGTATACACCTATACAACAAGAACAGGAGTCCATGCAGGGATCAGCCATCAAACAAAAATCTTACTACAATTTTACAATTGTGACAAGCATCGAGTCCTGCATTTACAAAGCTCTGACTCATTAGCCACTAGGTGGCAGCAGCAGTCTGCAAACTCCTCACATCTGATTCCACAAATAGTGCTGGCATCATCAGCTAAGCAGAGGTCGCACACGACAGCTCTTGAAGCGCTGCTACAATTTTGGGTGGCAATCCAAATAAGTCATTAACCTGAAGGGTAGGAAGTCTCAAATCATTCTGCCAAACGTTATACCACGTAGCATCACTTACAATTAGCAAAGGATTACGACTGGCCTGATTAGAGGATTCATTAGACATCTGATTACTGAGGCACACCAACAGTAAGGTAGAGGAGGGGGGAAAAGAAAAAGGGATGGAATCAGGAGCCAAAACTGGATACATAGTGAGTAAGAGATAACAACTGTCTGAAGAAGATTCTGCGATTTTAAATGCAGAGCACAAAAGTTTATTTCATTACAACTTTTTATATATTTCAGTGTATCTCCCTGAAGTAACTGTCCATCATCGACTTCTATTAGAAGCCTGTTTTTAAGTCACTGGAGCTGTGTTCCAAAAGCTAGACTGCAGCTGAAAAAGACATGTATGTAGTAGCACTGTCCTCTAAAGGTTCTTCCTTTGTATAACGTAATGCAAAACAAAACAGAGTCCAGCACAGTTTGGTGTTTTTCCTACTCAAACGCACCTGATCCATCTCAGCAGTTAATTGCCAGGTTTAGTGAGTGAGTTAAGATCAGGAAAAACACTAAACTGTGCCAGATACCAGCATCCTAGGACTACAGTTCACCACCCCTGGCTTATACAGTACTGTGCAAATGTCAGAGACCACACTCAGTTATTTAATTTCAATCAAAACAGCCATTGAGTACGAGTTATTAATTTTTCTGAATCCACAGTTTATGTTTATTACAGCTTCTGTTCTTTTCAGGAGGCTTCCTTTCAGTTTTTCAACAAAATTTGCAGCGATACTTTTCCACACTTTGAAAGCTCAGTCCTAGGCTTTGTTCACACAGCAGGTAACAGTGGCCCAAATCCGATCTTTTTCCCAATATATGACACAGATGTGTTGTCTCTGTGTGTCAGTCCGAACAGCAAAAACACACTGAATCTGATGTTTTCAATTCCGATTTGGGACACTTTCACATGTGGTACTGAAATCTGATACACATCTGATATGCGGCATTGTGACTCTAAACAGCCAGATTTGAATTCAAGTGACTTTTATGTTAATCCAACTCGACATTCATCATAATTTCGTGCTGGTGAGACCTTCAACATTTGGGGTAATGTTTCTGAACACAAAAAATTAGAAGACACTTATTCAAACCGTGTTCGAAGAGATTTTGGAAGAAATAGCTGAACGAGGCCATAGCAGAACGAGACTGCGGTGCCAAAGAAAAGTTAAAAGTGTGAAAGCAAAGTTTGAAGAAACCAAGGACGCGAACCAAAGAAGTGACAGTGGCCGAATAATGTGCCCTTTTTACAGTGAGCTCAAATGCATTCTGGGTGATGAGCCCAGCTGTCAGCCATCAGAACTTTTTATTAGCTCCTGTGATGCTGGTGAAGTTGAAACTGAAAGCTCCAAAATTTTGATTATTTACCTCTGGATGAGCGTGCCAGATTTGGGGCACTTTTACCTCCTGTGTGAACGTAGCCTAGAAGTTGGTTGCATTTTCTGCTTCTCACGATCCAAGTAATCTCAAACACATTTACTGATGTTGAGGTCTGGACTCTGGCATGGGCAGTCCATTGTTCTGAGAACACCAGCAGCTTCTTTATTTGATTTGCAAATGTTTTTCTTTTTTGTCTATTTCCTTTTCTTAGTAAGCAAAAGTGGAGCTTGATACTCTCTCAAAGGATGAAATCTATAAGTACTGTGTATGTAATGGTGACAGTTTTGGTGGTCTACCAGGTCTGGCATGGTTGTTAGGGTTGTTAGGAGACCCATTCCTTTGACTTTCCCCTTCATTATCTCCTGATAAATAAATAACTTGCACTTCATGCTGAAATTTAAATAAATAAAGGGTTTCTGACTTTTGCACTGCCCTGCATTAGCAACTTATATCTGAACATGAATTCTGCAGATGTGGTTACAGATGCTGTGGTTTCATTCATTGGAATTTCTCTTCAACATCCTTCAGGGCCAGATGCCTACGCAAAGGATTCTGGGCAACAGAAGACAGTGAAGCATACTCTGGTAGCAACCTTGAAAACTGTCACATTAAAGGCTGCATTCAAAGGATCCGTATTGGAACAGCCTTCGATAATGTCGTAGTCTAGAAATGCAGCCCACCTAGACAGCCTGGCTTTTGGAATGCTTAGCTTTTGAAAAGCAGCAACACCTTGAAATTACTGTCCTTGGTAGTGACAATATGATACAAATGTGGCACACAGAGATTAGGCTAAAAAGCACTGGTGTATTCCTTTAAGTGCTGCACTGGTGTCAGAAGTCAACATAGTCCATTTTGAAAAGCAATCTAAACAGCTGCTTTGCATTTCACTGCACAGTGCTTTCAAAACTAAATGATAAGTACTGAGGACGAGAACAAATGAAAGGGATAATGTTTCCAACATAACACCAGCTCGATCTGCGTGTGTGCTGACAGGACTGAAAAACACACTCCTGAGCTGAGAACCTCAAGCATGTGGAGCTGCAGGTGTGTGAAGGTATTTACACAGCATCTCTACACTTTCCAAACCGGAGGACCTAAAATAGCTACCAGCACTGTTCTGGAGGAGGAAAAAAAACACACAGTCGCTCTTCATTACTATGAACAAGCCTGCAATGTCACACACTTTTATCTTAAGGACGCACTGTGTCTTCCGAATACATTTTCTCTACGTGATGCCGATGCATCTTTGTAACGCTGCGACTGAACGCTGTGTGTTAATGACCCCAGAGGAAATTGGGAGCCACCAGTGTTTCTGGATCATTAATCACACTACAACATGTTCAGGCTACAACAGCAATTATCTCCTTTGGCTGCCCAAGGTGGCTACTGATACACCAGAAAGGGAACCGAATCATTTCTGCTGTGAGTCGGTAAACTTCCAGGGGAGAAAACAATTACTCATTCCTTGTTCTGTGATGACTGTAGTTTTCTCTAATGGTTCTCTAGGGGTCTTTGGCAAAGACATGGCTTTTGCTTGAGGAGCACAATGAAATCTACATCCAGTGATTTGGAAACTGCACACTTCTGATTTTGCACTAAAGTCTATAGGGCAGCAACATCATTTACACGGCTCCTCCACTGTTTCAGCTTTAAATATCAGCAGGCTACGCATATTTACAACATCCAGGGCCTAGAAACGCCAGAGAGACTGATGTGAGATGCTGAGAAAAAAAAAGAGGGAGAGAGAGAGAGGGAGAGAGAGAGAGAGAGAGAGAGAGAGAGAGAGAGAGAGAGAGAGAGCAAAGACAGAGAGACAGACAGACAGAGAGAAAGAGAGACAGGCAGACAGAAGGAGACAGACAAAAAACATACATACAGAAAGAGATAGACAGACAGACAGAGGGACAAAGAGAGAGACAGACAGAGAGAAAGGGAAACAGACAGACAGAAAGAGAGAGAGACAGACAGACAGACAAAGACAGACAAAGAGAGAGACAGACAGAGAGATACACATACAGACAGAGAGAAAGAGAGAGAGACAGACAGAGAGATACACATACAGACAGAGAGAAAGAGAGAGAGACAGACAGAGAGACAGACAGACAGAAAAAGACAGAGAGACAGACAGAAAGAACGACAGACAGACATAGAGAGAGGGGCAGAGAAAGGGGCACAGAGGCAGACATAGAGAGAGAGATAGACAGGCAGGTAAGGAGAGGCGGAGAGAAAGTCAGATGGATAGAAAGAGAGAGATAGACAGACAGACAGAGGGACAAAGAGAGAGACAGACAGAGAGAAAGGGAAACAGACAGACAGAAAGAGAGAGAGACAGACAGACAGACAAAGACAGACAAAGAGAGAGACAGACAGAGAGATACACATACAGACAGAGAGAAAGAGAGAGAGACAGACAGAGAGATACACATACAGACAGAGAGAAAGAGAGAGAGACAGACAGAGAGACAGACAGACAGAAAAAGACAGAGAGACAGACAGAAAGAACGACAGACAGACATAGAGAGAGGGGCAGAGAAAGGGGCACAGAGGCAGACATAGAGAGAGAGATAGACAGGCAGGTAAGGAGAGGCGGAGAGAAAGTCAGATGGATAGAAAGAGAGAGAGAGACAGACAGACAGAAAGAGATAGACAGACAGACAGAGAGACAGACAAAGAGAAAGAGAGACAGAGAGACACACAGACAGACAGAGAGAGAGAGACAGATAGACAGAAAAAGACAGAGAGACAGACAGAGAAAGGGGCAGAGAGACAGACATAGAAAGAGAGAGATAGACAGGCAGGTAAGGAGAGGCGGAGAGAAAGTCAGATGGATAGAAAGATAGACAGAGAGACAGACAAAGGAAAGAAAGAAAATAGATGCAGAAAGAAACAGAAAATGAGAGAAAAAGAGAGAAACACAAAGAGAAACAGAGAGAGAGAGAAACAGAGAGCGAGAGAGAGAGGGAGAGAGAGGGGCGAAGGGACTCTCTGGTAGCTGGAGTGCAGATGATGTGACTTCACTGCCTCACCTTCATGTCCGTCTTCTCGTCGTGTTTGCCTGATGAAGGCAGGGCGGCGATGGTGAAGCTGTCTGGGTCCTCACGGTCTCTGATCTTTGACTCCTTCATTAGACTGTCCAACTTCTTCTTCGCTACATTCTCCACCTGCTTTCTATTCATAGAAGTCTGTGGAAAGAGAGAGAGAGACAGCGAGAGAGAGAAAAAGAGGGATGGAGTGGGTGGGTGGGTGGAAGGCAGAGAGAATGAGGGGGAGAGAAAGACAGAGAGAGACATATTACAAAAGAAGAAGGATCTGGAGGGAAGAATGTACACTATAATTGAAATCACAGTGCTGAGCTGCCACGTTCGCTCTGCGTATGCTGACTGGGCTGAAAAACATCTCTGAGCTAACCACACACTTCTGTACACACAGGTGCATAAAGATGCTTGCAGACCAGAGTTAGATCAGTGTTATTTTAAACTGATAGCTCAATTAAAACTTAAATTTTCCCCAAAAAGACTTGCTTATGTAGTTTCTGTATTAGGTGCCTGCACTGCCAGTAATTACGCCACCATACTTAATACACAAACCCCTCCTTTAAACATTAGCCTAATAACATACTTCGAACATAAGCCTACATTTGAGCATCGGCATGGTTAAAACAAAGCACCAGCAAGCAACAAGCAAACTACAGCGTTTTAATTAACTACATTGTTTTTATTAATTGTGGTTAATTGTTGTAACTGGAGGGCTCATAAGATCTTAGTTGCACCACTGGGTGTAAAGAATGGGTTATGGGTTTCTACCACTTGTTAGCTATATTAACCTCATAAATCTACCCTATAATGACATAAAGAAGGGTTTAAAAACCAAACGTGTTGGCTCTTCATTACATTTAAGGGGACAAAACGTGTAAATATGATTTTACACCAAACTATACCTTTAATATTCAATCTCAACAGGTCTACACCAAGCAGTTAATAACTCTTCCATTATTTCTTTGACAACCGCGGCTCTCCAAAGCTGGCAGAAGGGCCTCTGAATTGGCCTTGATGCTAGATGCAACTGACAAGGTACCTACTTCTGTGTGCTGGGTTGTTGAGCCAGGCCAGAAAATATTGTCTCAGAACAAGGGTCTGCAGCGCTTTCATAGCCTCAAACGTATAACCACGCGCAGCCGAGCCACTCAATTCTTTGTGGACTTGCCAAGAAATCTATCTGTTCTGCTCGACTGCACTTTTATACAATAAAGCACCAAGCTGAGCCCCACGTCCGGCTCCGCAGAGCCCTACAGTTTGTGTACTTTTGACAACATGAGCAAATCTTGCTAACACAGAGAAGACCTATGTGAAGGGTACAGGTCACAATTATAGCCAGCGACAGCAGCATGTCATAATGCGAAATTTACATTCTTCACTCGCAGCTCAATTAAAGAAGCAGAAAAGTTCAGTCTCTCAATTGACAGTGCATGTGTGCTGGTGAGCAGAAGAGGAGATACTATTATTTTTTGAATTTGAGAAGGAAAAAAAAACATATTTTTGTGTTCTTGTCATTTCTTGACATTGAAACAAACAGGAAAAAGTCAGAAGTGCAGACTCGTTAGAGGGATTCGTGCTAAACTGAAATGCAATCACTGCAGTGGAAAAACATCAAAAGCGATGCACACAACATTACGTTTCTGTAGTGAAAAATGAAAAGCAAAACCCCCATTACACTGCACACTGTCACTTGACCTCTTTACTGAAAAACAATATATGACGATTGGAATTTGCTAAACAAACTGAATACGATCCACCTTGAAATGTAATCAACGTACAGCTGTAACGCTTTCTAGCATGCAGTACTTCTTACAACATTAAACAGATATAATGGATCTTTTACTTTTCATTTCGGCACTTTGGTACACCTCCTTGTATCGTCCATTTTATCAGCTTCATTCACTATATAGCTGCACTTTGTAGTTCTACAATTACAGATTGTAGTCCATCTGTTTCTCTGCATACTTTGTTAGCCCCCTATTCAATATTCAGGACCCCCAAAGAGCAGGTATTATTTGGCTGATGGTTCTTTCTCAGCACTCCAGTGACACTGATGTGGTGGTGGCACAAAATAGTGCGCAATAGTGAATTCTGGTTTTGTAAATTTTTCGCTATTTACTTAAAGGAGAAGTTAGTTCAATTTCTGTTTACACAGAAGAAAATAGTCTGTACTTGCAGCACATTTATTCAGATATGCACTATTTTAATAATAATTTATCGCTTCTTATATCATTATTAATATTATAGACGCACTGGTACCGCCTTTTCCCGATACTTTCAGTATCAGCTGATACCGAGTACCAATACCAATACTAACTCCTAACCTGTCCTAATATTTATATAATATAATTTTAAAATATTTTATTTTGGTCAAATCTATGTTCTGCGCAACAAAGAAAACACACTCAGCTTGGCTAGATGGCATTTACTTGTCGGATTATATTTATTAGACGCTCAAGAAATCTTATTTTTGTTTATTTACTGCATTTACTATAATATAATTAGTAATGAGAACCATGTTTCACAACTTAAGTGAATGTAAAATTCCTTTATTGTGCAAAACTGTTAAAATCAGAGCTGAACAGTAAACAGATAAACCTGTGGTGTTTAAACATCAGCACACAGCAGCTTCTCTGGCTTAAAATCAGAGCTGAATGTTGTTTCACATCCAAATTTCTCAAGTCGTTGGTCTCATATGTGCGTCTTGTTCACTCGCGCTGCATCTCTGAGCATCAGTTCAGTAAGTATCACCGTCGTTCACACTGTCAGTACTAGTGACTTTTTTCTGGCTTGGTTCAAGTGATGGGCCGCGAGACCTCACTGCTGAGTGATGCAGTGGACTGATAGAGGTGCACCGCAGGTGTGGCTAGAGGACACATGCATGTGTCAGAAATTGCTTCGTGGTGTGAGTCATAGGTATCGGTATCCCCATCTCCGATACTTTGTTTAAGTGCCAGAATTGGTGCCAATACCGATACAGTATTGGTATCGGTGCAACACTAATGAAGACTTTATCAAATACTACATTTTATGTCCACATCATGCAGCCCTATATGAAAGTAACAATATGTTCTTTGATCACTTTCAGTGACATCTTTTTGTAATTTAGGCTTAAATAATAGTAAACATGCTCATGCTAGCACATCATACTGAATTTAATTGAATGTATTCCATTCCAAAAGAGCTAATTTGTCTCAAATTAATAATGAATTTGTCTAAACTTAACGGTTTAAAAGCAGGCCCCTTCAGTCTCAGTCCAGGAAAAAAGACAACAGGAAACAATGCTGTTGTTGTGTGCTCCTTTTTATCGTGCTTCGTTCAAATACCTTGGAGAAGTGTCTCCCAGCCGGCTGTTAATGCCTTCTCTGGCTGGGGAAACTAGTGTTCCCCTCTGAAATATTTATTATATTACACAGTGTCTTCCAGCTCAGAAGAAAGAGACTGAGAGAGCAGGAAGGCAGAGAGGGAAAACAGAGTGAGAGGGATACACGTGAGATGCTTGGCTTTGAGCTGCGCTTTCAAAGAGAATTGAAAATGGAGACAAAAGTGGAAGTGTTTTTAAAAAGCACGGCTCATCTGCATACAGGCGGATGCTACTATTTCCAGTATGTACTGTAACTAAACCAAGCATCGCCTGCTGATATGAGCGCTGGGGTAGTGTGAAATACAAACATTCAGACTCTTTCAAAGAGAATGAGCTCTACAAGGCCATCTGTGAAATATGTGTCATGGCAAAAATGTAAAGGAATAGGTGGTGCATCAAAGAATCTCATCAGAGAATGTGAAATTATTCTCCAGCAGACAAAAAGGCAGCTGGGTCTTCTGGATTTTGGGCACTGGAGACGAGACGGACAGGGCCTCATCAAAAATGAACGACTCTTTTAACATTTCACTTTGCACAAAGAGCCTTCGGCATATAAATATAACAGAAAGACAGGACTGAACTTTACCATTAAAATAACAAGGAATAACGTGTGTAGGCACTCAGACCTCACTGCACTGTTACACTGTTACACTGCTGAGTGACCTTAAATGATCAGTTAGAGAGGTGAAGAGAGGCACAACAACAAGGGGAGAGAGAAAGAGAGGTATAGAGTGCAGGTAGAGAGCACATAGAAAGAATAGTGAGCAAGCAAGCGAGGGAGAGGGAGAGAGAGAGAGAGAGAGAGAGAGAGAGAGAGAGAGAGAGAGAATGCATAACAGAAATGAAGATATAGAAAAAAGGAAAGACAGACAGAAAGAGAGACAGAGAACAGTGTAGAAGAATAAAAATAGAAAGAAAACAAAAAGGAGAGATTACAGAAAAAGCAAGTTAGAACAAAAAGGAAGCAAGAGAGAGAGAAGCGAAAGTCAAGTCAAATGAAAAGAGACAAAGAGAAAGCTGAGGGACATAAAGAACAGAAAGTAGAGAAAAATTTGATGAAAAAAGGAGAAAGGAACAAAAAAGAGAAAGTGAACGGGAGAGGGAGGGTGAGAGCAAAAACTGAAAAAGAGTGAGGAAAAAGAAAAAGAAAGGGAAAGAAACAAAGAAAGCAAAAGAAGTGAAAAAGTGAAGGGAAAAATGAGAAAGAAGGAGAGAGCTGGGGAGAGAGCTAGAGTGAAAAAGATAAAGAGAGAGCATGAGAGAGAGTGAAAGAGAGAAGAAAGAGGAAAAAAGAGAAAGAGAGAAAGACAGAGAGAGGAAAGAGAGAGAAAACAGGAAAGAAGAGAGAAAGAGACAGAGGCAGACAGAGAGAGAAAGAATAATAGTATGCAGGAGAGGAAAAAGTGAGGGACAGAAAGAACAGTGGTAGCAAGAGAGAGAAGAGAGAGCAGGTCAGGGCAAAAGTAATGGAAGGGGAAAAACAGAGACAGAGAAAGAGAGATAGAGAGAGAAGAGACGGAGGAGAGAGACAGACCAACAGAGAGAGAGAGAGAGAGAGAGAGAGAGAGAGCCCTGGAGAGCTGCTGAGCCGAAGGCAGGCCCAGGATCTGAGCTCCAGTCCAGTAAGAGGAAGAGCTGTAGAGCACTTACGTCCCCGTTCATCAGCTTACAGTCATCCTCCATCTCATCTGCACTGTCCTCGTCTGACACATCACCCTCCTCCGCATTCTCATCAATGTTCGGGGGCAACTTCTTACCCTGCACACACCACATCAAACCAAACACACACACAGAAAACATCAGAAAAACACCTCTGTGCTTCAGTAAAAGTACAAATACTCTATCTGTATTTTTAGAGCACAAAACTACTTTCTTATAAATAAAAGTATAACTCTATAAAAAAGTACTTCTACTTGTTAGCTACATTAGCCTTGTATCTCCAGTACAAAACAAAAGAAGTGGATCCCAAATCCAACATTATTATTCATTTTTGGCCCAGCTGAAGGCAAATCATCTTCTTTGTCACATTTCCTCATTAAAAGACATAAACAAAGCATCAGAGACTTTGAGACCTGCAGGCAGAACTTCATTCGGTTCAAAAACAGAAGTGGGAAGGAAGCATGTATAAGGTCTAGAACAGTGGAGAATGAGGCCCGGGGGGCTCATCCGCTCTCCGGCTTACTTATCAGTAATCGTTTGATTGACAGGCCCATAATAGCGCTCTTACGTGCTGCCCGGTGAGACGGAGCGGTAGTCTGTGGGGACGCTAACAAAAGGACAGGTAGGTGATGGATACCGGTATGAAAAGGTGACAATCAATTCCTCGCGGCGGCGGAGGAGTGCTCGCGCTGGAAGAAATAAATTCTGAACTGTTTAACAAGGCAAGGGCACGCCAGGTAAGAGCGATAACTGTCGGTGACGGGGCGGGACGCTCCACTGTGTTGACGCTTCCATCTAGGAAGATAAAAAATAGCTTTTATTTGTCTTTTTTGCCTGCAGTGGTGCTTTTGTTTCTACTGTGTTATGATTTGAATTCTGCAAGACTGAACTGAGCTCAATTCTCTGACAACTTGTCCATTTCCGCTATGTAGAAGCCTACAAATCAACCATTGACAGCCTTCTAATTTGCGTATCTGCAGAGCCAATGCATGACAGCAGAGATACAGTCTACATCATATGCTAGTATACACACAATACTCACTTAAAACACTATTGTTTGACGATACACAAGATATTTATGTACACTATACAGTCGAAAGCATGCGGGCAACTGAGCGTCACACCTATATGAGTTTGTTGGATCTCCCGTTCCAAAATCAAGGGGTTTATAATGTAGTTGACAACCCCTCAACCCCAACCCCCCCCCCACCGCAGCTTTCTCCCCTCTCAACCCTCTTCCCAATCCCCTGCACATAGGAAATAATCACAGCCTGAGTATCTAAACCAGCAGTAACAGAGAAAAATGTTAACCATTGTCATAAAACAAGTTAACCTCATCTTTTCCTTTTCTTTGTTGTTCTTGGATCTAGATATGTACGTTCTTTTTTTAAACATGATTAACCAGTTGCTTTTTTCCCCCTCACTCCAGCATCTTAGCCAACATATGGTATAGTAATAACCCAGAAGTTGTTAGGGGGCCCCAAGCAGCTGCTTATGTCACTTACTAGGTAGAGCCAGGTGCTTGCTACTGGCTCCAAACCAGTTGGAGGAACGGAAACAAAAAACAGAAACCAACAGAAGTTTGTAAGGAACAAAAGCACAATTAAGCATGAAATTGGTAATGCTTTATGTGAACCCCGCTACACTGACATAACCATGAGAGAAACGTCACAGCAGAAGTCACAGCTGCCATGACAGATCTTGAACATTAATATAACAGTGTCATGTTACCATAATTGGTAATTGTCATGACATCATGATAACTTTTGCCACATAAGTGAAAGTAAGTCAACACATCCTAGATCACTAAAAAAGCTGAGCTGAACCTGATGTTGAGTCATTTTTATGGCTCTTTCTGTGACAGTGCGGTAAAGTTGTTTTTATAGTGGACATCTGTTGGATAATTAACTTTCCTCGATTTTGCATTAAAATAAATGTCCAAAAATGATAAAAGCTCAATTTTCTCACATCCGAGAAGACAGCCAACAAATTACAACCAAATTTAGATCAGCAATGTCCATCATTAAATTTCTCTGTACATTATGGTTTAGAAATGTCCTCACTGACATCTCAGACACCAAGGTAGCATCTATAAAGCACATAATGTGGATGTCTTTCTGAGCTTTATTTCCCATGTATTTAGCTAAAATAAGGCAAAATCACACTAAATTACTTTTACCTTTAACTGGGATTTTAGCCTTTACTACAAGTGATTTAATGTGATTTTGCTTTATTTTAGTTAAAGGCATGAGAAATATGTTTCGAACTATTTACACACAGACTCATAATGACTGAAGTGTCTGTGATCTGTGTTTTAGATGTTTATTTCATGAGAAAGTGAGGAAGGTCAAATATTCAGCATAAAACCAACGTTATCGTGCTGCAGTGCAAAAAGATGCTATTTTTTAGTTGAAGAAATTGCCGATATAAACATTTAAAATAACGATTAAGGCTTTTATGCTCTACTTTTTATGCATTTTGTAAAAATGTTGTGTAAAAGTATTAGAACACCTGAGGTCATGTCTTATCAACATGAATGACATCATTCATGATAACACTCCCGCTCATATCCGATTGCTTGAATATCACATCTAATTCCTTGTCTTGTCTTGTTTGTTGTCTCTATACCTATAAGTTACAGGGTTCATTGAAAATTTCCAAGCTGCTTAAAGCATAAGTGAAGCACTGAGCTCGATAATGCACACGCACGCATGAAAAAGCAACAGTGGGCTTAAGTCAGAGCATCTGGCCAAGCCAGCCTCGCTGCTGCTTGGGGAGTGTGGGTTTAGGCTGCATCTGGAGATTTGCTTGCTGACCCGCCGCCAGTGCCGAGCAATTTGTCAATACTGCCCGCTGGCCCAGTTTATGCTTTCGAGTTGGCTCTCCAGTGCCTAACGTCAGTCGGCTTCCAATTATAGCGCCAGCTCTGTGTTCTGCTACACCTTCCTTTCCATGGCCTGTTTTCCTGTTGGTCTCAAAGCAGCAGCTATATGGAGTCACGTGACTGTACAGTAAGACAGAAGCGGATTGTTAAAGCACACTCCTCTAGCTACTGTAGAGGGCGGTCTGAGGCACAGAAAGCATCCAAGCGAAACTCAATAAATACAAAGAGGTCCACATGATATACAGTACCAGGCAAAAGACAAGAGACCACCCTTATGTTTTTTTCACTTTACAGTCAGATATTGAAATCTGGACTCTCCAGTGGTCAGTCCATTGTTCTGACAACACCAGCAGCTTCTTCGCCTGATTTGCAAATGAACTATTTTCTTTTCTCAGTAAGGGCTTATTGACAGTTACACATCCTTTCATACCCATAGTGTTGAGTTGTCTTCTCACAGTGGAAGTGCCTGTATATTTTTTCAGATCTGAAGCAAGTGTGGAGCTTGATCTCTCAAACATGAAAGCTTTAAGTCCTGTTTATCTATATAGTCCTATTTTCCCTTGTTTATGAAAGTGGATTATCTTATTGTTATGGGTGGATTATCTAAACTTCTCAAAAATATCTTCTGAAAAATGAAGGACTTAATGGCCATTTTGACTGGAAAGTAAATAAATGAAGGACGTTCCTTGACTTTTGCTTAGTACTGTTGTGACGGGTCTGTGCCGTTACACTGACACTGTATACCAAGCACAACCTAAACCACAACCTCATCGAGCAAGCAAATGATATTTTTAATTCATTCACAGTTATTTAACTTAATAGCCTATAGTATATTAGTTTTAGATACACTTAACATTTTGAATATTTGTTCGGCTATGTTTATCTGCCAGGCCTCTGAATCATTAAATATACAGTTGAACTTATCAGCTGTTTTCTAGCTTATGCTAGCTAAGGCTTCATCTTTGATGCTCTCAAGGACGTTGTACATAAAAGGGGATGTGTCTCGTTGTCAGGGCAAATTCAATTATGTTTTGGGTGCTATGATTTTTGTTTTAAAATATTAACCAAATAATTGTTAAATCTTTCTAAAAACATAATTTAATAAAAAAATACGTTTTTACATTTTTGATCAGATTCTTGTATGTACATTAATTGTAGATCACTGCTGCAGATGCTAACTTCTTTGGAGTACAACTGGAATTGACCTTGCACTGCAAGCTGCTGTTCTATTTAAAATGGAGCAAAGAATGTCTATCAACAGCAAAGGTGTGATGAGAATTTGCCGGAGATCCACATTCTGCCATCTCGCCAAGCTCTTAGCATGCCTACCTTCCCCCAGTGTCTGCATTTGATTTTCAAAAGACAAACCGTTTGTGCATGTGGAGCAGGATTTGTAAAGAGCTGACCTTGACGAGGATTTTGCCTTTGAGGGCATCGGGTGAGGGCAGAAGTCCAGACTCATTGGTGCTGACGGATGACAGGTCCAGCTTTTCCCCCAGAATCTCCACCAGATACTGAGCCATCTTCTTCTGCTGAGGAACACTGCAGTGGTTCTCTATGGACAGGATCACCGGATACCTGAAAAAGAAATACAGACAGTGCATGTAGAAGATGTTAAAGGACTACGTTGGAGACGCATTAAATGTGTTTTTGCCTTCATTCAAGTAGTAGTTAATAGCTACGTTTCAAGGGCCCTTGGCTCATGGGGAAACTAGGTAGCTGCCTACCTTTGCCTAGTGCAGGGCTCCAGAGCTGCATGCTCCACAGCAGAATTAGATTTCTAAGTAAAAATAAAATAATCCCCTTTGCAGTAAAATAAAGCTCTGCTGATCGTTCAACACAGTTTCAACAATAAATGATCTTAAACACTGGAGTTAATGTATAACTGCTAATTCAACCTTTAACCCTGAAGATCAGGGCACAGACTGCTGGTCACCATAGCAACACAGACAACAATCTCACCTAGCTAGTAACAAAAAGGCAAAGAGAAAGATTTAAGACGAATATTGATAATTTGTGCTGAATGACTTATACACTCATGGTTTCCGGATACATTTAATCTGAAACAAGAAACTGTAAGACACTAAAAAGCTAAAGTCAGCTTCTCTTTCGAATTCTCCCGTTCCACCTTGAATGGAGCAGCAGTTACATTCTGGCACCTCAGGCACCATTTAAGGTGGAACGGGAAAATTTCAGTGACTTCAGCCTCATAAAAGTCAAACACTGAGAGACATTTTAGAAGAAACTATTCTACTTTTGGAAAAGTTTCCTGCTAGAGATGTGAGAAAAGTACAAGATGGCAAAATAGACATAAAACATTGTGGTTCCCTGGTCATGAGGTGAGTCTGCTTACTTCAACTATTAAATAAAGTATACTTACTAAAAGGATAACATGGTTAAAACGGTAAGGTGCTTAAGCTTTCTCAGCTGCTTAGTATCAGTAGCTTTTCAGGCTGACATCGCACTGCTTATTAATCAATCAAACTACCTCATATTACCAACTATGAATGTTATTGAAATAAAATGACTCACAAATATAGGAAAAACAGGTGTGTTTGGAAACTATACAGGTTTACTACACAAACAAATCCAACATTGACATTTTTAAAGTTTATTTTTGGCCTTGGAGATGATTAAAAAACAACATCCTGCCCTCTGCCATGGTATGGGATGTCCTTTGAAAGTCAGACAGACATAAACGTACATGCTGAAAAGTGGCTTGCAATGGTCGCTAGGCAGTGATTGGAGGGCTAAGGAAATAGGGGTGGGTCTTGAGATGGTCTGATTGGCTCAGTTTCTGATGTTGGCAACCTAGTTGCACCCCCTCCCTTTAGTATGGCACACAGCTTTTGACGTGCATTGGATACCATACAGTAAACTACTATGAAGAGTAGCACGCAGTGTACAGTGTGTCCTGGTGCAGTACACAGTACACAGTACGCTAAGTTGAACACGGTCAGTATTGTGGAAAATTGCTCTGATTTCATGTGATAACGTCTACATACACATCATTAACTGTGTAGAACGGATTAAACGACAGAATAAGCCACTTTCTTGCACTGACCTTAAAGGGTTAAGAAAAATGGTTGAGAGAAAATGTCACAGTGTAATTCCTACAGCTTCTGGAGAAAGAAGGCACAAATTATCATCTTAACATGGGCTCGAAGAACCTCCTCAGGGACATTCCAAACTGGCATATGTTTAACATTCCCATCATGACAAATTGTTGGCTTGAAGGAAAACTGAAACGGCAAGCCAAAACGACCGCATGTCAAAAGTGACACGTTTGGGAGTGTCACTGAGAGATCTAAAAATAGCATTTTGTTTGCAACAGCTTCCAGAAGCCCTGGCAGTGTGCGTCTCGGTGACACCTTTAGCAACGATGGCGTTAATGAAATTTGAGGAAAAAAAATGAAGCACATACACACAAACACGTGCGTGCACTCATGCGTGTGCACCACTGAAGTGGGCTGCTGCACACAATACACATTCTTCTGCATGAATACTATCTGCCTCCCAAGCATCTAACATCAAGAAATTATCTAAAAACTAATGCAAAAAATATCAAGAAAATCTCAAATCATGAAAACATCTAAAACAAAATGTAAACAAAACACATTTAAACTAAGAACATTTCTAAAACAAAAATAAAAAAAAAAGTAATTAAGAAAATATCTAAAAGAAAATATCTAAACCAAAAATCTGAATCAAGAAAACATCTAAAACAAATTATTGAAACAATAAAATATCTGAATCAAGAAAATGTCTAAAACAAAATATCGAAACAAAAAATATTTGAATTAAGAAAATATGTAAAAAAAATTTAAATTAAGAAAACCAAAAAAATATTTGAATCAAGAAAATATCTAAAACTAAATATCAAAACAATAAATACTCAAATCAAGAAAACATCTAAAATAAAAATAATTTAAATCAAGAAAATATCTAAATAAAAAGAAATTGAATCAAAAAAATATGTAAAACAAAATATCAAAACAAAAAAATACCTAAATCAAGAAAATATCTAAAATAAAAATAATTTAAATCAAGAAAATATCTAAATAAAAAATACCTGACTAAACCAAAGACTATCTAAATCCTATCAAACCGTGAGTTTTGGCATATTTTGAATAAACAATGGTCAGTTGGGGTCACGGCAAAATGTTAAGTAAAACTAAAATAAAAACACAGCTGGCCCACAGATTTGTTGAGATTTTTTACTATGGCGCTTTTAGTGGTTGAGTTTGACACCCCTAATCTAAATCAAGAAAACAAAAAATACAGGCTCACTTCTTCTCATGTCTATCATGCATATGAGCAACGCTGCGGGTCAGAAACGTTACTTACAGGTTCTTGACAAAAGCGTATTTGTTGATGGTCTCAATGACGTCTTTGAAGAGGATCTTGGATGTCAAAGTGTAGCCGTGGTGTACAATTGGCTCGCCGTCCTGTCCATCCCAGCAGTCCACTAGACAGTTTAAAATGAGGTAAGCTTATTACAATAGTGTCTAAAATGTAAATGTGGTTTTACATAATTTAAAAAACTTTACTATTTATTTCATTTAAATAAAGATCATTTTTGTGAAACGTGCTATTCATTCCTTCACTGAAAGCTACACTACATGAAAGAGAGTAACATGGAAACTGACCTTCCACACATCTGCAGCCAGCCTGCAGCACCCAGGCATACATGTCCACTCTAGACTGAGACATCAGCTGGTCCCCCATTAGATAGGTGTTATGAGAAGAGGCGATGAAGTAGTTGCACAGAGGCTCGGTCATCTCCTGGTTGACCTCGTAGTGTTCAGGGTTAAAGATGTCCCCCGCTGGACTTCGCATGTAATTCGTAAAACCTGTGGGGGCGGAATTTTACAGATAAATGGATAAAAAACTGGACTGGCTTTTCTTAAAAGTTAAAAGGTCAACAGAAGATATTTATTGCCTCATTTTATCTCTTCAAGATGTTCTGCAAATACTACCATTATTAATACAAAAGCACAATCCTAGTCTTAGTACTAAACTCTGCACTGCCATTTTTGTGCTCTCCATGCAATAAAGAACCTGACCGAGGGGTTTTATAAGGTGTTATAACATGTTATATCAGTGCTAACGGCTTGATAATCAGGGCAATAGGGCAATCATCATGTTTTGGGGTCAAATATGTGATAAAGAGGAGTAAAGAACTTGATAAATTATATTACATAATATCAACTTCGCTCAAAATTAACATAGGGCTGGAGCTGGAAACTTGCTCCTTTAAGCCAGGAATACACTGTGCGATTTTAGAAATGTTGTTCTTTGGTGACAACTCGCACTGTATGTTTGAATCACCCATCGTATATAGACAAAGCCTGTGATTTATATACACGCACTGTATGAAAACACTCTGGCTGACATGACACGACATAGGGTGCTCACACTGCACATGGAACGCAGCCACTACAGACAATCTCCAATAAAGCTGTGTTATTCAAAACAACACGCTGCTCCCTACATAGTGCACTACATATTAAAATAGTTGCTCCTGTACCCATAAAGTGCATCACATGTCTAATAAATAGCCTTCTGAGATTCAGCCATGTGTGCACAGTTCCATACTGGACAAGCAGTGCACTATTTTGATGGAGAGGCCAGAACTTAGTGCACTACATATGAAGGATGGGGCCTTTTGAGATTCAGCCACTGACAAACCGTTACAGCAGCTTTGCTATCTTGTGCCACACTGTGCACTGAAGCTGAAGAACAGGTGGTCTACAAACAGTTCTATGAAGACAAAATCAGCATATTTATTTATATATTGGTGCCGCAAATGTAGACTTTTTTGCCTTTGTGTAGGTGGTTGTGATTGTGTGTGGTTTTGGGTGTGACTTTGTGAGGCTGCTCAGAATTGTGAGACAAGCCACCAAAATCCATTTTCATTGTCTGACTGCTCAATCGGAGCTCATTTGGGCAGTTAATCGGGCATCGTTTCTCTTCTCACACTGCACTGCAAACGACGGCCGACGAAGCAGAAATTCGGCCCATTATGAAATTTAGTCAGTCGCGCAGTGTATGCCTGGATTTAGGTGATCACTGTGGTGATAAGAGGCTAAAAAGCAAGCAATACATTTAAAAACATTTTATTATTCAACAAGGCAGAGGGAAATCAGTAGTTTTCCTGTTGGATGAGTAACAGGAGATGCCTCTTGTGTGAGCTAAAAATACAGCGAGGTGTTCTCTCCTCAGTGGACGATGTGTCAATATGTTTGCCTGGAACTAGATAACATCAGCCGTGCTACATCTGCCTTCTCAAACACATTCTTAACAATGCATCCTTGTCAATGCAGTCGCATTCAAGCGCTCATGTTTCAGAGCTGGACAGTGTAATACACATTCTTACTTTTTTACTGACCCGTTAAAACATACAAGCAATGTTTGATTGAATTGTTAGTCTTGTATTTTCTCTGTCTTCCTGTGCTGACACATAACTAATACCTGAATAGCAATTTAAGTATTCAAATACTGGAATACTTGAACAGTGGACCAAGTATTTGGGTACCCATGCACAGATGAGCTATAAAATTGTGAAAACATAATACTTTATGGTTCCTCACAGGCATCTACAGTTGAATGCCAAAGTGCCTCTGCTATAAATGAGGAAAACACCTTTTTTAAATGTTTTTTATTTGCATGGCAAGTAAGTTTTGTGTGCATCATTTAAAGAGAAGAAACAGCCATGAATCCCTATGAATGCACATCTTCACAGTAACAACTTTCAAAATGAGATGTGAAATAGTTTTTAAAAAAGTACTGTGTAAATGCATTATTTAATATATTATATAATCGATTGTGCTGATTTTTAGCAAGAAAAATGTATGTGAATTTTAAGGTTACTGCTATAATATGAGCAGCTGGTGCCAAATTTAGCAGGTTGATAAGAACATAAAACCACTAAAATCCTTACAAGCAAGTAATTTCTCTCACATAAGAAGAGTGTATATTGAAACAATATTGGTGCTTCATCGGCAGAATTTTCACCAATACTGATATACAAGTGGAATAATACATATGTGGAATATGTGAAGTAATCTGTGATGGCAACCTGTCCTGGGTGTTGACCACTGGGATAGGCTCCAGCACCCCCGGTGACCCAGGAGGATAAGCGGCTTAGAAAATGTGTGTGTGTGGAGTAATATTGGCAGATTTTATCATATTTATTAGTCAGGCCCTCTCTATGACACAAATTTTAAACCCATTAAGGCCTTATTATTACTTGATGTTCAAGTAAACAGTACAGAAAACACCAAAATGTGCTGTGGAGAGATTCTCAGGGACTGAACCAGGAAACACGAGGAATTAGGATGAGCATTTGAAATACGTCATACATCAAAAGAACAATACTTCATTATCTACAAATCAATTACTGAGGACTGGGGATTATCTAAATAAAGGTTTACGTCCAAAGCAGAACTGGAAGTGACAGTGCAGAGACGGTGACTAACGATGGTCTAATTCTAAAAACATTATCTCACAAGCCATTAACATCTAAATGAAATGGTCCATCATTATAGAGCTTAATGAAGAACGCTTGGCTTATTAAAATGTTCTCTGAAGAAAACTCTCTATTTAGATTTCATCTTACCGTCAATACCCAGAACCCCCTGTTTCTGGTTTTCAGGGCAAGGCTCAAACTTGGCGACGATTTCGAGACAGTGCTCTTTGGTGACCTTTGTCATCTGAAACACAAACACAGTGAGAGAAGTTACATACAAAACAACAACAACGGCAACAACAACACAACCGACAACTATAACGATTTCCAAATTTAAACTATGTTACATGCAGATTATGAACGCATATCAAATCCAGATCCCAGACGGCGTAAAACAAAGTGTAAAAAAATCAGAACATCTAAAATGTTTACCAAACAGAATGAACTTAATCCCATTGAGAAACATCCTCGCATGTGACTGACCCACTCCGGCTGTGGAATCCGATTGTTCTGACCGACAGCTGGGCCTTAAATGGGCTGATTAGTCGATCAGATTTCCATCCATGCCAATCAGCATCAGGCCCTGTCAAACAGCGGGTGGGAGGAGGGGGGGCCGCACCACCAACAACTATGGTCCCAGTTCAGCACTACGCTGTGCGCTAGCGCGATGCGTTTCCCAGTGTCTAACCACAAGCAGAGCTTTGGGCTAATTGGCTTGGTCAGCTTAGCTCAGAACTCTTGTTTTGCTTTTGAGATACAGTTGAACTGCCCATCAAGAGTCTAACAGTGAGCTTTAATGATGGCCACTTTCTCTGCTTCTCAAAAGAAACAAACAAAGAGACCCGTGCTGGGAGTTGTAGAAAACAAGTTGGTTACTCAGAAGCACCAAAAAATCAGTCTAGAATGTAAATTTCTCAATTAGATTTGCTGCTCAATTGGTTTTTAAAACAAATTCAGAGTTTTTTAAAATACATTTATATAAAAAATAATAATAATACAATTTTCACCACATAACAACACATACAAACTCAAATATGGCATGTAGTAGTGTCTATATTGTTCATGAAGGTTAGTCAAACATGAAAATCAAACATGTATAATGTCCAGTCTTTTTCCAGTGTGTTTAACTCTGTTAACAGCTCTGCAGTCTTTTGCCCTTCATTTTCAGTTTCTGACCACAGGACTAGTTGTACATGGACATTTTTGCAGGACTATTCTTAATTAGGTTAATACATACACTGTATCTTTTTTCAGCTTTTTTGTCTTTAAGCATCATCTTTGAAGTCAATACCTCTAATAATAAAAAAATATGAAGTTTATGACTTTCTTTTAAGGCATTATAAGACTTTTGAAGGATCCACAGAAAGCCTGTATGTTGCTGTTGTCAGAACAAAAACCTTCTATCTCCATTTTTGTCAATTGTCAGTTTTTGACTTTAAAATGTCTGCTGCTCTTTACATCATGTGTAAATTTCATGATGAATGGAGCAAAAGAAATGGCCCAAAATTACTTGGAAAAAAGTCTGGTTCCATTGACTTACATCAAAAGTAAAGTATGTTTTTTCCTTCTCCTGTAAAGTTACCATTTTGGAGATACAGGGTTTTGTTCTTACAGCGCCGACATGCAGAAAGTTTAATAAACACTGTTAATGCTGTAAGACAAAGACAGCTCTAGCATAAATGCTTAATGTTCCCACAAAACCATTCAGCATACATTTAACAAATCACGCTAGTGCTGCTTGATCATTTTGTGTACAGTACTGTTCTTAATTTCTATTCAAAGCTGCCATCAAGTATGTATTTTTTCACTTTCAGCATCTGGAAAAGCCTCACAAATGAATTATAACATCAGTTTGTTTTAGTACTAATGTGTCAACCCTATGACTTTATTACAACTTCCATTCTTTTTAGGAGACTTTCAGTCAAATCTGCAGGGATATTTTTCCACACCTGTTGGTTGGTTGCATTTTCTGCTTTTCACGATCCAAGTAATCCAAACACATTCAGTGATGTTGAGTCTGATGAAGAAAAGTGGAGCCTGATTTTCTCCTCTCTCTTGAAGATGAATGCTTTAAGTGCTGTTTATCTGATGGTGACAGTTTTGGCGGTCTACCAGGTCTAGCAGGGCTGTTGGGGGCCCAATTTTCACTATAACTTTCTTGCTTCTGTGCATTTTCTTTTAAATATGTTTGTTGTTTTCCTGAAAAATGAATAACTTGTAAACTGAATAATAATGGTAGTGTCTGACATTTGCACAGTACTGTCCATCATTTTTTCTGGGATTCAGCAATTTACATGCTTATCTTTAAATAGCCTGTTAATTATATGGCCAAAATACCTGCTAATGATTTAAATTAGTTTGTCTCTTTATTGGAAGCTACAGTCTCAAGACCAACATAGCTGTTGATGTTGGCTATGAGGGCTGAAAGATTAACATCAATTCAGAAACTCAATCCTTAATTTAAATACGTAAGGAGGCTCAGGAATGTATCTACATCTGTTCTGAACTGAACTCATCTCATAAACTAAACATATCTCTCTTCTGAATTTATGTTTCAGCAACAAACTGCCCTCGGCTGACCACATAATTAATAAGTGGCCATGTTCGCATGTATATAAAGCAAAATGATAAGAATTCTTTTGAAAATCCCTACGATTCAGAGTGATAACAGTGTATCTGCTGCAATAAAAGTTCCCTATGATAATAATAATAATATGAAATATGTGCATTCTTTGGGTGTTTTAGAGAGCAAGAGGAAGAACGAGAGAGGGGGAGAAAGCGAGAGAGCAAGAGAGCAAGAGAGGCTTTCAGAGATGTCTGATTTTTTAAAAATGCCTTTGGTCCCATTAACAGAGAAGAGTCAGGCTGCATATTCATCACCAAGCTTATCAAATTACATGCCTGAGTTGAGAAAGAGGGCATGTAGCCGAGGGGACATATTAGAATGCTGGGGGAACGCGTACACCTTTTAATGCGCAAAAAGAACGGCTCAAACTAGGTAGTAGGAGCAAGCAATATGACGGCAATAGGACATTGTTAACAAATATAGCAAAATATAACAAAATAGCATTGATAGACTTTTCTAAATGTATAAATATTGTCAATACCTAAAGAACACTGATCAACTGCATATATCAATAAGAAAAGATTTAGCTGGGACTCCCGAGCAGTAGTGGGCAGTGTGGTCAAAAATTTATAACACTTTAATTAAAATTATTAACAGTTTCACTATACACCGATCAGGCATAGCATTATGACCACCTCCTTGTTTCTACGCTCATTGTCCATTTTATCAGCTTCACTTACTATATAGGTGCACTGTAGTTCTACAATTACAGACTGTAGTCCATCTGTTTCTCTGCATGTCCATTCACTGTCCACTCTATTAGACATTCCTACCTTGTCAGTCTACATTGTAGATGTAAAGTCAGAGACGATAGCTCATCTGCTGCTGCACAGTTTGTGTTGGTCATCCTCTAGTCCTTCATCAGTGGTCACAGGATGCTGCCCACAGGACGCTGTTGGCTGGATATTATTGGTTGGTGGACTATTCTCAGTCCAGCAGTGACACTGAGGTGTCTGATCCACTCAGACCAGCACAACACACACTAACACACCACCACCACCACCACCACCACCACCACCAACATCAGTGTTACTGCAGTGCTAAGAATGATCCACCACTCAAATAGTACCTGCTCTGTGAGGGTCCATGGGGTCCTGACCACTGAACAGGGTAAAAGGGGGCTAACAAGGAAACAGATGAACTACAGTCTGTAATTGTAGAACTACAAAGTGCACCTATATAGTAAGTGGAGTTGATAAAATGGACAAGGAGCATAGAAACAAGGAGGTGGTCATAATGTTATACCTGATCGGTGTATACCACAGTGTATATATAACATTTAAAATGTTCAGTAGACCTGTTTTTGTACATTTACAGGGGCTTATCTTTCTGAGATGCCCCTTTGCTTTTATTAAGAACCGTTTTTACAACCAAAGCAAATCTGAAATGTGTGCAAAATAGTATTAACAAATCTGAACAATACATAGACAAAGCCAATACTGCTGTCTAACACTAGCTACACAACCTGGCACCTATGGTGCTAAATGTTTCATGTCAGTTTCTACAGAGCTGAAGTTGGCATCTTATTTGCCAGCTTATTGATCAAATTCTTCATTCCACCTTAAATGAAGCAGCAGTTGTACTCTGGCACTTAAATGTAACTTCTACACTATTTAAGATGGAATGGGAAATTCAAAAGCCAATTTCATCTTCGTCAAATTTCTCAAGTCATTTGTTGTCTCACATGTACGTCCTGTACATTCATACCTCTGACCGTCAGACAATACTGGAATTTAGAAAACATTACAGTCATTCACACTTTCAGTATCAGTAGCTGGTTCACAGCTTGTTTGCTTCACCATCCCTGAAAACTTCTGATGCAACTGATCAAATCAGTTGACTCCTTTTAGGCGGCATGGGAGCAAACAGAAGCACTTCAGTGTTCATGTTAGGCTAAAAAAACCCAAAAGACTGGCTACTCCTTCATGCCTTGAAAACAAAGAAACAAAGACTGTTTCTGATGCAACAGACTAGGCAGCAAGAGGTGATAGAGAGACTACTGCCTTTTCATTTAAAACGTGATGTAAACATCCCTGGCTCAGATGTACGGCCAAACGGGGTAAAGTTAGTGTGGTTTGCACTGCTTGTATATTGCGTTATCTGTGCTAATTTGTGGCAATCCAGTATGACAAAATTCGTACTGGAGGAAGAATTTAAACTGGTATACCACCCACTATTACCAAGTGTCATAGCTGTTCAAAGGTTCCCTCTGTTGCTGAGAGATTTCGAATATGAATGCCATGATTGAAGACAGTATAATTGTCCCTGCCTAACGAGTAGTTAAATCATTGTACTAATAGTTTAGGAGTGTTTTTTTAAAATATGGCCCTTTTCCTGTGCACTTTGCATTTTCCAACGTAAGAAAAAAAAGATATTTGGTGAGATTTGTCCATATTGCCCACCCCTTAACTCACCTTTTGTTCATTCTCAAGGAAGCGTGCCAGGTCATCTGTGTCCAGGTGGTCTTTATGGTTACTATAAGTAAGCATCAGCAGGTATAGATCCCGTCGAGTTGACATCATCTTGTAGAAGGAGCAGAACTCATCAAAGCCCAGCGTTCCCTGGTTATCATCCGTATCCGCCTCCTACAAAAAAACAACAGGATGATAATCATGGCCATCAGAACCATCAAATGTGGGGGTGAAGGTCAGGGGGCATGCCCTCCTCACCTCTCAAAAATGTATATTTTGTCCAGCCCATCTTTACTGCTTCTGTTTGCTGCTTGTTTACCCAAAATAAGTTTGAATAAAGTATCCATATTTTATGTGTTAAAACAGGATATGGTCGGTAATGAAAACTGTCACTCAGTTAAGGAAGGAAAAGGCTCAGTTGCTCAGTGTGACCATGACGTGGAGCAGCTATTTGACTGACATGCAGATCGACCAACCTCAGTGTTTTTCGTGATGTTTAGGGGAAGGCAGCACCACAACAAAAACATGCATGCGAAATAAAAAATAATGTGGCGTAGCGGTTAATGTTTCTGGGAAATGCTGTGTCGGCCTCAAATGCACATCTTAAATAACTTAAAGTTGGGATGCCAAGAGCTTCCCCTGTCACCCGAGCAACAACCAGAACTTAAAGATGAGTCATTTTTACATCGAAATCACAATTTCAAAGAGTGCAATTTTCAAATGGGAAGAGCTGCAATTTCTGTTATAGCCTATAGTATCAACAGCACTGTGTTAAGTTTTAGTTTGGGAAATTTAACCCGATAACATGGATCTTCTGAACCACCTGTAGTTGATCAACCAAACACCCCTGTGCTGTGACATTACAACCACAAACTATGTGTTTAGTTTGCATGAAATTCCTCTGGGTCACGGGGGGTGCTGGAGCCTATCCCAGCGGTCACTGGGTGGAAGGCAGGATACACCTTGGACAGGTTGGACAGGACAGAAAACAGACATATACAATCTCACACACACATTCACACCTAGGGGCAATTTAGCATGTCCAATTGGCCTGGCCGCATGTCTGCGGACTATGGGAGGAAACTGGAGTACCCAGAGGAAATCCATGCAGACAGCCTGCATCTCAATTCCTAAACAATAATAATAATATTAATAATAATGATAATAATAATAATAATAATTGCAGTTTAAATTGCAGTCACAATATTGGTCAGAAAAAATGCAATATTTCACCTAAATCTCTCAGCATTAGCAACTACTGCTCCATAAGGCTGACTACGGTCAGTGAGCAGGATCTACGGGTTACTAGCATTTAGTGTGATAAACAAAAGTTGATATTTTCATTATACATTGTAGTGCAGAAGTTGTTTGAGATGTAAAACTAGTCAACCAAAATTACTCGTCATACCCATCACTATACAGCTTACAAAAAGAGACTAAGAGAGTATTTCCTCCAGCTTCTAAATCACTCCAACGCCCTCGATGGCAGTTATGGACAAACAGAAACACAACAAAAGCAGAAGTTTCCATCACTGCTGACTTCACGGAAAGTATTCCCTACAACACCATGAGTTATGTCCCTGTCCCTGTCCTACATGCAAGACTAAAGAAGAAATGGAGCTTCTCCTTCGAGCCTGCTTCTGATGATGAAATGCAAACTAAACACATCGCAAAGAATCCTAGAAGACAGAAAGCTCCGGAGGAAGCTGACAGTGCCTGGTTACATGAAACTACCCATTCAACAGAGTTCTTGAAGAGTGCGAGGTGCGTCTTGGCTGAGCTGGAGCTGTTCATTAGCATCTCTTCTCCTCTGAACAAAAACACAGAAGAGTGTCTTAGAATCTATTCTCTCTCAGAGCAGAGTGAGTCTACATGTCAGAGCTGTGGGGGAAAATCAAGTTCCACACTCAGCATTTCTGTCAGCCTGAAGGTAATGGAAAAACAGAAACAGTCGATTTCAATTTCGATCAGTTTTGAATGCCAGTTTCTCAATGGAGAATGGTTACTGAAAGGGCATTAATGCTGTAAGAATACCTGCTACCATTTTAAATTAGCCTCGTTTCAGAAGAGTATTGACTCGCCAGCTTAGAGCCTGCATCTCGTCTCAGAAAGGATCTGATGAATATTAAAGGTAGAACTACTATCTTCCTCTCAGGGGGACATTGCAGAGGCCTCGTAAAATAAATCCAAAATGTAATGTTCATAAACCGACGTGGCCTTTTCATTACGTTTCTCAATGGAAAATCACGACAGGATCAAGCTGTTTGCCTCATGCACTTGACGGACGGTATAATCTAAAAGGATTTTGTTCCATGTGAATTTGCACTGAAGCACACCGAAGGGATTTCACAGGGCAAAAGAGAACTGCTTGTGCACCTCCATCACGTTTGATACTTTAAACCCTGATCAGCGACCTGCTGCATAGGTGGCCACGTTGGGGGGATAAAGCACCTACGACTCAATGAACTGGAAAAAAGGTTCAGAACACACTGCCCCGCTCCTTCTCTGCCCAATCCCCGACTGAACTCTGCGGTAAGTGAAGAGATGGTAAATCAGTGCTTTTAGAGTGATAGTTTGGTAAAAAATCAAATTTAGGTCATTTTCCCCTTAATAAAAAAATGACCAGCCACGAAATGTTTGATGTCCACATGTAACCGAAGCATACACTTGGCCAGTTGGCATCATGCAGATGACATGCTTAAATCATCAAACACCTCAAATTAACTCCAGTTGTGGGGGATTCCACTGATTTTTCAAAATTTCTGCATAACTTAATTGCTGAGATGTAAACAAAATTATTCAGAGTGGTTTGATGAAAAATGGTTCACTGTAGACAGACTCAGATTTCTTTACAGTGGTGGTGAAAGGATCCAGAGATCATGTTTACAATGCAGACTTGGGACATTTTACTATCCAAAATGAGCAGTGAACCTACACGTGCCCGAATTTGTATATCGCTGCTGTCGGAACGAAAGCTTGTATCTCCAAAATGACAACTTTACAGGAGAGGGAAAAAACACTTCTTACTTTTAATGTAAGTCAATGGAACCAGACTTTTTCCCCAAGTCATTTTGGGTCATTTCTTTTGGTTCTTTTGGTAACTGTTTATTTACATTACTAATGTGTTGTATATGCCTAATGAAATGTAAATGCATAGAACAGTGTATTTTACATCAGACCACTCTGAAGGACTCTGAATGTGACACATTGTTCTCAATAAAAATGAACAAATGTACAGACACCATACAGATTTCATGTTTCATGTATTTGTTAGCTATATTAGCCACCTAGCTCAACTACAAACATGTCTTGGCTGATTCAATATACATGTGGATAAGTGAAAAATTGTACAGGTGGAATTTTTGCCAAGCCATCGCCATTAACTCATAGGAAAACGTTTTTCACATCCCAACGCTTCCTAGGACCCTACTTCAGTGTTTCATTTCCACAGCTCCTTGCCAGGAAGCTCAAATCCGTTGAGTTGACAAGCAAAAGACCAGGCAGAGGAAGCGAGCAAGGCCGCGAGAACGAGACTGGCGGTCTATGGATCCAGGCTGTGGAGGATCAGAGGCTTGACAGGAAAAACAGGTCAACAACACTTCAGGCACCAGAGCGGGGGGGCATTATTCACACTTGTTTTCCGTCTTTTTCCTAGGAGCATCATTCACACTTCAGAAGAGACAAACCCCACACCTCGGTCCTTGCTTTCTTGAAAAGAACATTGCCATTTTTATTCAGATCTGAATACTGACTCAAAAACAGTTTAGAATCTGGGGGAAATTAATTAGGTGACAGCAATTAATGTCAATGGAGAAGCCAGACTAATATCCATTAATACATTTTACAATGAGGGGCTTAGCAAGTCCAGATTAAGCCTAACTCTGGATTAACCACCCTGTTAAAAGTTTAATTTAATTGAAAAGTCATTTTGGGAACAATACTCTGTTCCTAGGAAATCATTCAAAAGCAGTGGCTCTCAAGTGAGTCAGTGTAGAGATAAGAGGGACAATGTAAAAAATAGTCCAGAACAAAGAGAAAAACCCTGAAAATGTCCTGCATCCAGCATCAGTTTAAAAAAGTAATGACTTGAATGCACGTTTTACCATAGCGTCCATGTTAAGGCCTTTTGATACATAAGACATTTTGATACACGTTACTTGTTCGGTGTGGACGTGTGTGTGTGTGGGCAGAGATAGATGTAAGCAGAAAACTCACTCAGATATAAACACTTCAGTGAAATCTGCTGACAGTTGCTGCTTTTTTTCATAAAAAAAGACATAGGTGGGTAGGCCTGGGTAACAGGCTGATGTAATAGGATATTGGCTATGATTGTAATAAGTAATAATTTAAACCCTATATGTCATTGAAAATAGTACAAAGACAACAAATCAAATGTTGAAACTGAGAAATTTTATTGTTTTTTTTTTGTTTTTAATATATGCCCATTTTGAATTTGATGCCAACAACATGTTCCAAAAAAGTTGGGACAGGGGCATGTTCACCACTGTGTTTCATCACTTGGCATCAAATCCAAAATGGGCATATATTTTTCAAAAAACAATAAAATTTTTCACTTTCAACATTTGATTTGTTGTCTTTGTAGTAATTTTTTTCAAAAAAAGTTGGGATGCTGTATATATATATATATATATATATACATATATATATATATATATATATACCAGCATACATTTGAAACGATGCCTTTTGTTTCTCTGCCTTCACTCAATCCTGCTGGCACACCTGGCAGTTCTATTTCGATGTAGAGCTCTAGTCTGCAGTCTAGTCTTAAGCATAATTTTACTTCCATGTGATATTAATGAAAGTGTGCAATAGTTTGCACACTCTTTCTTGTCTCCTCTTTGGTATTGGGATATAAGCTGACCTCCTCCAATCTGCTGGCCATTGAGCCATTTTCCAGATTCAGAAAAATTTGGTCAGTCCTTCAACCGAACCTTTAGAGTCTGTTTGTAGTCTATTTGGTTTTGGTGAACATCATCTTGTGATGTCCAGGTATACGGTGGACGTGGAAGTTGATTAGTCTTTCTTGTGCTTCATTTCTGTTTCCAAGGCCGTGCTGCCCAACGATATTTTATTCATTCTTGTTTCAGACCTTAGCATTCCAGTCTCCAACCACCAGCAGTACATCTTATTTGAAGATCTTGTCAATTTCAGCCTGAGTCTGACAATAGTACTTTTTCGCTTTCTTCATTGCTTGTGTCTATTGTTGGGGCATAAACCTGGATGACTTTAATGCTGAAAGCATGTGGATGAAATCAGATTGAAGTATGTTTTCTCAGGGACCTTTATAAGGATGTGTTGAAAATATACTTTCACTTCAAATCAACAAATCATGTCATTTGACCAGGGTGTCCAAACTTTTGCATACACTTTAAATAATAAATATAAAACTCATTCATGTTTAGTTGGTGTTGAAGCTCTGGGTGTTTGAAATCAGTGAACACTATTTTTTCCCTTCACTTTAGATGAAAGAGAAGACATACATGATATTGGTTGGTCAGCTGTGAAGGACGTGGCACTTATTGTGGTGCTCAGCACAAAAATTGATGGTTTTTAAACTTACAGTTTAAGAACACAAATCAGCACGGTGTGTAGGGTAGAGGAATGCTTTTCAGTTACCGTACGCTTTGATTCATAGACAACCATGAAAAGAAGCATGCTTTAGAGTGAAACCATGCCGTCTGAACGCCCCCTTAGAAGAAGTAAAACACAAAAGAAACAGAAGACTAGGACTGAAAACCACTGCTATAATATAGGAATAATAATTTTGATGAATATTTGAGATTTCTTTCAAAGGCTGCTTGCTGGTAGTCCAGTGGTTAATGCCAGCAATCAAGCCAAGGCTGATTAGTTGTTTGATTCTCAAACTGGGGATGGTTAAGTGGGCCAACTGCACAGTGTGGTTTCTTGTTTCAATGTACTGTAACAAGAACCGTTGTACAAGCATGTGGCTTGAGGTATTAACATCCAAGACAAGGCAGGCCTTCTAGCATCCAGGGAAGCTTTTTATAATAAATATTCAAATTAAGGTAAAAAGGAAATCAGGCTTATGAGAAAACAAAGTAAGTGAAAGGGAGAAATAGATTGTTCGGTGTTTTTCTTTAGCCATGGTGTACAATTCAGAAAAATCGTGCAAAGTTATTCTCCCTGATAATCAAACGAAGCTAACAGAGCCAAGGCCCAAAAAGCCTCTCCCAGCAGACAGACACAGACATGCACACGAGGCCAGATTGCTCCCCTGTGCTTTATTCTGTCTTACAATAAAGGCCATCTGTGTCCGTTTACAGCAGATGGGGCGGGCCCTGATGGAGTGTGAAGCTTAGCGACCTGCAAACAGCCGAGGCGAGATCTCCGCCACATACAGTACTTACACACGCGCTCACTAATCCAGCCTGGCTGGGAAATGGCTTTTTGAGAGCAGTGAGGCTCCACATGCATAAGTTCTCATGGGTCAGGCAATGGTTTGGCCTACAAAGATGGAGTGTGTGCTTGACAAAAGTGTCAAATTTGCCCTTAGCTGATATACAGCACCATTCTTTACCTTCCAGATTATGCTTATGGATAATATATCTGATGGATGCTTCAATCTGAGAGTAGGTCATAGTCAAATCCGAATGGGCCTAAACGATATTAAAGCCCTCCAGGGGACATTAACTAACTGCATTCTCGCTCACATGCACATAGCCCCCTGCAATCGCACAGACTTTATAGATCAATCCACCAAATCTGCCACACATGACTGCTGGACCATTGTAGCCAAATGTACTTAACATAGGACACATTCTGCCTAAAAAGCATGTATGAAACTGGCATACAAGTCTAAAGGTGTGGTTTATGTGTAGCATACAGAGATGTCCAGAAGTCAGAAACCATCCTTCATTTATTAAATACCCAGTCTAAATGGCCATTAAAGTGGAACTCCACCCATTTTGCAAACTTACTTAATCCTTCAGTGGTTTAGATGAAAACGAAATCATTCAGAGTGGTTCAGTGTGAAACGTGCCTTTCTAGGGAAATTTACAGAGTTAGAATTGGTCACCATTATAGTACTAGGAACCAGACATCTGAAGCATTTAATGGCTCTAAAAGCTACATCCTGTTAAGTTATTACAGAAAATGGTTATGAATGTGTTAATTGATACCTTGTTTTATGATAGTTTTGTTATGAAATTTTGGCCTAAAACTGTATTTTTAATATAAACTATTACTCCAGGATTGCTACTGTATTTCCTCTCAAAACCGCATTCTTAACTGACATTAATGCATGCAAGCTAATATGCTTTTGTAGTTACTAGCATGTAGCTACAGCCGTTCAACATGGCTAATGCCAATGTTGTATCCGATTCAGGTCACTAAAAAAGTCAGGTCTCATATTCACGTTCCCTATGACAACGGCAAGCCACACTGGAACTACGGAAAGCGAAAAGGTTCAAAAACACTTTGTATGACAGCTGTATTTACTCAGTCAGCTGTGTTATCTTCGGTAAATTTACATTGGGGATTGGGTGAAAACAAAGTAGTGTTGCTTGGCGTTGTTATCTGTTCAGTGAATGCGCACGCCCAAAGATCTGATTTGTCAAAGGGAACGTATATTTGAGGGGGAACCGAATCAGATACAACACCAGCAGAAGCTTTTGTTTATAGTTCATTTTTACAACTTTCTTTCCTATTTTTAGAGGATGACAAAGTGTGTGGAGGACTTCAATAAGGTCTGTTTCCAAAATGTTGTATATCGATTTAAGCAGAATACACAAATGAGTTGCAGCAGCTTGAAGAAGACTGAACCCACTGGCACCAAAGCAGAAGAACCCAGGGCGAATGGAAATTGACATCATCAACAACAAACTACTTGCTACTCACCAGTTTATGGGGTAGGAAAGTGAGGTGCAACTGTGATTTATCACATTTATATTGATAACATGTGACGCAACGCCGCCAACCAAAACAACACAAAAGTCGTGCGCGGCGGAGAGGTACACACAGGACGTTGTGAGGAAAAAGTAGTACCCAAAAAACATAAATTTTTTAATTTAGCACTACTTTACCATTATCACCGTGACATATAAAACCATATAACACACATGTAAGCTCACTGGTCATTTTGCATAGCAGATAAAATGGTGATATTTGTAGTGTAGACATACGGACGTCTGGTTCCTAGTACTATAATAGTGAACAATTCTCAGTAAATTTCCCTAGAAAGGTGCAATGATTTTGTTTACATCTAAATGGTTGACTGAGTAAGTCATTTTGCAAAATCAGTGGAGCTCCCCTTTAAGTACAAGTAAATCATTTTTCAGGAGATATTTCTGAGGAGATAGGTGTGAAGTAATTCAATTGCATAAGGGGGAACATTAAAGGAAAATAAGTGAAAAAACAAGAGTTTCCAAAATTTGAGTTGAGAGTCCTGGTAGACCACCAAAACTGTCACCATCACACATACAGTTCCTTTAAATGTATACTTACAACAATGTATTAGGTGGTCAGTTATTTCAAATTAAATATTTTTTTGAAAACAGCAAAAATAAAGTTATATTTAATATTATAACTTATCAATTTTATTGATTTTAGTAAATATATGCTAATCACAAATTTGTTGCCTGCAACACACTCATAAAAAGATATGATAAGGGCTCCAACTTTTTAGGAATTGGCTTTGTAAGTCCTGTTTGCTGCTGTACCTTCTCACTCATGAGACTCAGAGACACAAACATGCCCTCAGAGAATCGCTCACATGCATGGTCAGTCTGTCCAACAGTAGGCGGCGTACCTTGAACATCTGCTTGACTTTCTGTCTGGGCAGGTTGACATTGAGTTTGTGCAGAAGCTGCAGCACCTCGCTGATGCTCAGACTGCCATCTCCATTCTTGTCCGCCTCAGTGAACGTCTGCTTCAACCATGTGGCCACACAGTTAAGGGACTGACCACCACACACGAAGACATAAAGACATACACTATACTACGACAAGGTGATGAACACAAGCTTAACCTGCGTTTTACTCAGCTTAAGCACACAACTGCTGTGTACTGTCGAGGTGAGCAATATGGTGTAAAACAGGGGTCGGCAATCAGGCTTTTTTACTCTCCTGTTTCGGCTCCACAGCAGAATTAGATTTTTAGGTAAAAATAAAATAATCCTCCTTTGCAGTAAAATAAAGCTCTGCTAACCATTCTAACACTGTTTCAACACTAAAGGGTCTTAAACACTGGAGTTAATGTATAACTGCTAATTCACCCTTTAAGAATCTCACCTAGCTAGTAGCTAACGAAAAGCAAAGAGAAAGATAATTTGAGACAGCATGGACTTATTTGCATTTATAAGCACTGAAGCTTGTTTCCTGATACGTCTAACCTGCAATGAGAAACTTTTAAACTCTAAAAAGTCACGAAGTTGAAGTCAGTTTCTCATTCTCCAGCTTCTTGTTTGAATTTTCCTGTTCCACCTTAAATGGTGCAGCTGTTACATTCTGGGACCTCAAGCACCATTTAAGGTGGAGCGGGAAAATACAAACAAGAAGCTGGAGAATGAGAAGTGACTTCAGCCTCGTAAAAAGTCGAACATTAAGAGACATTTTACAAGAAACTAACTTATTCTACTTTTGGAAGTGTTTCCTGCTGGAGATGTGAGAAAAGCAGCTACAGCTGAGCTAAAGCTTGAAGCAGAGGAAAGTAAGTCTGCATTTTCATTTATATCATATTTTTTATCCTATACTCGGACATTAGCACATACTCAGACATTTTACCGTCTTAAACATATTTAAATATGTTTAAGATGGTAAAATGCACATAAAATATTGTGGCCCCCAAGTTGAATTTTTATTGAAAAATCGTTTGGGTTGCTGACCCCTGGCCTAAAAGCTAAAAAAATATTTGCAAGGCCAGATAATTGAATTTATATACTATGATAACAATGTCCACAAAATACATTTTATATATATGTATATATATATATATATATATATATATATAGAGAGAGAGAGAGAGAGAGAGAGAGAGCGAGAGAAAATAAACTACACTGAACATGTATGAATACTAACTGTAAATATTTACTATAACAGTCTACGATAATCAAAGCAAATGAATCATGTTTAACGTTGATTATTCATAACTCATCATAATGAGTGATTCACAACCTGATATCTTATTCCAGCAGATTACTGCATATCCCTGGGGCTTTGCATCTACATTTCTCTCATTTTCACTGCCTTACAGCAGCTCACAGTTGCTTACACTTCAGATCACTTTAAGGAATGCCTTCAGTGGAGGATTAGAATGTTAAATGGAGATACTTATAAGAAGTCTGTTATATAAAAAATCATAAATAATGCAGGTTTAATCCCTGACATTTGCCAAATGAAGCGCATCCCCAACAACCAGTTATCATCACAACAGCTTAAATGACTGAATGCTAATATATAGGTAACAAAGAAATACTCCAGCCTTTTTCAACCTAATCTTTTATCTGCCATCTCTGTTGTGTTAATTACCATGGATGATATTTTTCCTGCACTTAGAAAAGAAAACTTCACTGATTTAAAAACCTGTCCTACTTTTACAGATGCAGCAGAGATTAGACCTTTAAAGCTGCAAAGTAACCAGTTAGCATTACTTAATTTTCCTCAATGCTAACTGGTTCCCTACTAGCTTTCATTCATTTTTAGCTCTATAAACCTTCCAAATGCTCTATAAAGTTATCTGCAATCAAGACAGTGTTCTGAATCCATTATGCACTCAACATCTGGCAGCCCTCAGCACTGAACCCAACGAGAATGTCTCATTGTCAAACTTTCTAATTTAGAGCTAAACACATAACATTTTTTCATCTGGCAACTTACTGTCTATAATCACACACTGTAACTGGGAAAAATAATCCATGAAAAGGATATTGATCCCGGGTACGCTGACGTTTGGCCAGGCTGTCCTCATCGCTGATGCCTGCCATAAGGTACTTAAGGCCGGTAATCCAGGTGCGTGCCTCCTCGCCCGTCCCAGAGACCAGGTCCAGAGACTCCATGTGTTCACCATAGTAGATGCTGAAGCAACAGTTGGGGTCGAAGCTGCCATCTGAGTAGCGCTGGAATATCTCTGACTGCTTACCCTCGCACACCTCCCGGATGGAGTCGATGGAAACTGGGAGGACAGAGAGTGGAGGAAGTGTGTGAGGGACACAGCTCTGGTGTTACTGGTAGGGGTGATCAGAGAGAGGAACAGATGGGATGTAGAAAAAGAAAGAAAGAAAGGAAAAAGAAAGGAAAAGAAAACAAAAGGGTGCAAACCATCCTCATTGATGACTTCTTAGAGCCATGGTTTCCAATTTCGGTTCCACTAACCCCCAAAAATTTCCCAGCTCTAACACAGCTGACTTCACCTCATCAAGTAAATGTGGCACTTCAAGAGTGAAATCATGTGTTTAGAAGAGGGCTTTGCAAAAACACTAAAAGGGTTTAGAGGAAGGAAACTAAGGACCACTGTAAGGAGTTCTGATGATTGTTGGAGACGTTTTTCTGTTGTACACACATATTACATAGTGTTATAACATCCAAAGCAAGGTAATGTTCTTATAGGTATCAGTGAAGCTTTGGAAAAGGTAAGATAAATGTCTAAGTAAGGACAAAAAGAAAACTGGCTGCTGAGTAACTCCAAGAAAAACAAGAAACAGGTGAGAGGAATAATAACAGACTGTTTACAGACTGTTTGCCAGCATTCGGCAACCTAAATCTCAGAGGTACTTCATATCTGGCAGTTGGTAGTCCCTGCAGGTGAACCTAGTAAGAAGCGCTTCATGTGTGGTATCTGGTGTTTTAGAAGAGGGTAGTACAAAAACAGTACATGGGTCCAGAGGAATGGAACTGAAGAACACAGTAAAGAGTCAATCTTGATGAATATTTGCTATTTTTTTTCTATTCTAAACAGGACTGTTGCTTAAGATTTTAACATCCAAGGCAAGGTAATATCATTCTAGGAATCAGGAATAAAAAATATAAAATATATAAATATAAAACATATATATAAACAAGACATAGGTGAAATGAATAACAACTGACATTCTATACTGACATTATATATAGCTGCAGCACACACCTCAATGGAGGCACAGAAGTAGGAAGCATCCCCATTGAGAGGAATAAGCAATAACAATAACAATAACAAAGCAATAATAGCATGGGTCAAAAGGCCTTAGTCTGCTTAATAATGCTAATCAGGGTCTGGTTATGGACTAGAAATGGGTACAACACTTAACCAACTGACTGTTATTGCACATTCTATCACCTGAATAGCAAACAGCATTCATTTCTCCATAATTGTTAGAACATAAGCTGTCTGTTCTACATTACAATTGAACTGCCACAGATGGCGCGCCTGAATGTTTCGTGATCATAACCCTTGTTAGCAATGCACTCGGCACGTTATGAGGCATTCTGTCATTTAGAATATTGTACCATGACACTTTTTTGGGGGAGGGGGGGCGGGGGTGGGGTTGCGAGGCATGGCAGAGGATGAAAGGTTTTCATCAGCTCAACAGCAGGTTCAGCACCAGATCAAAACATTTGGCATGAATACCATTTCCACAGAGTGACCTTGGGGCTGCACTGGGCCGCTGTTGAATAATGCAAACCGGAGAGTTGACGAGGCTAATACGGCTGCCTTTGCAGGCTTCTGTAGTCAGCTTTAGAGTTCAAAAATGTGCCCAATTGCTGGAGCTGTTCTGTTTTTGAAACTTCAGTAGAAAACTTTGCTTTGTGATTCACAGGCACGTTGCCTACCAAACCTGGAGAACGAATAAGTGCATGCAGGCCAGGTTCACTGCGACTGAATTCCTTCCAGTTAAAGTGGATGTATTATTGAGGCAACTTAAAGAGCTGATTAATTCGCCGGCTGCAGTGGGCCATCAGCGCGCTGAACTTTATCTGTGCTGCCGGAGATACAATGGGCTCCGTCGTTTAGGCATGACTCAACGTGTCGCTTTAACACCGCCGTCAATCCTGCTGAGCAAGTCTGCACTCGGCTGCAAAGTCACTACTGTGGCTTGTTACAGTTCTATGCAGCCAGTGTAGTCAATGTTTGGCAAGAACTACAGAGCTGAAAGGCATTAACACTGACAGTGATGGAAAGACAACAAATACTATTGCACATTTGCTCATTTGACCAACAACCACTGAAAAAGAGCCACAGCAAGTATTTTAACTCTCAACAAATGTGCTTGCATTGAAAAACACAAATGATTAGACAAACTGCAAATGAAAGTCTAGTTGGTCAGGATATTCTCGACCAGCCTTCTTTTCAGTATTGAACTGGGCTTTATACAGTGAACTACTTTTATACTTTTATACACTGATCAGGCATAGCACTATGACCACCTCCTTTTTTCTATGCTCATTGTCCATTTTATCAGCTCCACTTACTATACAGGCACACTTTGTAGTTCTACAATTACAGACTGTAGTCCATCTGTTTCTCTGCATACTTCATTAGCCCCCTTTTACCCTGTACACGGAGGCAACTTTGTTTACTCTGCTTGCTAGGTAGCAACAACAAAAAAAGGCAACGCATAAAACAAACTGTATTTTAAAGTTTGCAAGGCTAGCTAATTAGCTTATTGATGCCGGCCTAGCTGAGCACAAATGCATTTTTACCGAAAATCAACTCCTCACTGTCCCCCCTTCTTCCCTTGTGCTAAAATTTGCCACTTGTGTAAATTAGATCATTCATCTTGAGTTTATGAGTTTAGCAAATGTTACTGAACATAGTACTAAAATGCAGGCAGATGGGGGGTCAACTCTGCAGTAAACTCTACAAGGCAACAGTTCAGCACAATCTAGCGATGTTGCTGCTAAAACGTATCTACTAAACCTGGTAATTAACAGATGAATTAGGTGTGGTTGATCAGGGGAATTACCAACCTGTGTTAGACTCCCAAAAAGAAGATACAGAAAAATTCATGAAATTGGCCATTTTTTTTTACTTTAATGCTTTGAATACATTTTGGATAGAAACTGTATTTTACATGCTCATATATTTTCTTCCATATGAGCTGCAGCCATCCAAAATCAGGCTTGGGTACCCCTGTTCTAGACCAGCAAGAGCAGAGTGAAAGAAACACTTAGGGAACAGGCTAGCTTACTAAATGCACTCCTATGAAAGAGGAAAAGTCTGTAACTTTCCCCTCACTTCTGAATGATAGTCGTTTCCGTCTTTCGATAGGTACTTAACTGCAAATTGGCACTTACTTTTGGCCCTCTCGTTCTTCCTGGAGGGCCTCCAGCGGATGCAGGACTTGTGCTCGTCCAGGTAGAAGTAGCGCACCAGGCCCTTGGAGCCGCCCCGCAGCTTCACCATCTGAGTCCCTGTCTGCATTGAGCTCATGCATTTTTCCACTGTAAGAGAAAGAGGTAAAAACAGGGCAGTTTTAGGCACGTCTGCCAACGTTAGGCTAGCTCAAAGGAGTAATTCACTTAAAATGTTAAATTGCTAACATAATTAATAAAGAATTAGAGTTTAGTTATCATTACCGAAATTAAATCACGCTAAGTGGTCCCCAATACCTTTCATTCACTGTCAGCTATGACTTTATAAATGTACTTCTATGAACGCACCTCATTCATTATGCTATAACTGTAATTGAAATTTTCCTTGACAATTAATCAGAATACTTTTCCACAGTTTATAGATAAAAGGATACTAGTTATCAACACTGTTTGAACCAACGGTTCAACGTTGAAGGCCCCAAAACACAAAAGTAGGCCACTTGTGGTCACTGACAGGCCGAATTACCAGAAAAGTCATTAAGTCATATAGCCTTGAGTCTAACTGCTTCTCACACACAAAAAGCATTTTTCAAACCGGACATTTTGCAGCACTACAAGTAGAATAGATCCATCTATTTTAAGAGAGGCTCATCTAAGTCCTTGACATGGACCTTCCACACTTGCTTTAGTCAACATAAACAGTTATTGGAAAATGCAACATTTATAAATAATACGCATAAAAACTGTACACGAAACTTTTGAGGTTTCCCATAAAAAATGCCTGATCACTGAAGTTACCAACCGCCAAGCATTTACCTCCAAGTGCTTCTGTACTGGTAGAAAGAAAAATAAACACTATGTTCTCAATCTTTTATCGAGAAGGATTGAAGATGATCAAGAAAATAAACTAACATTAACACTAATAAGCAATAGACCCATCCTTACCCATATTTCAAGGTACTTGGTAATAAAACTGTCATGGTGTCTCATTGATCCGCAGCATAAAATGTAGCATGGAGAATGCTGTTCAAAGCATTACAATCTCCCACACTCAGCTTGATCAATAAAGTATCTGACCATGCTCTCGCACACTGCCGCACCATCCCCTCCAGTCCTCTGCGATGTACAAGCAGCAGTCAGTCATTAATAATTGAGGGCTGCCCTTCTGACTTGCACCCTACTTGGCCACACTGCAACTTCAAATATACATGCTGCATTAAGCTACTCTCAATTAATAAGAAATAAAGGTTCAATAAAACAGTGCTCCAACTAAAAATGCTAAGGTAAGGTTAGCATAATGCTAACTGGACACCATTAGCCTTCATGGACTGATAGCAGCACTGTTCCTTTATAGGGAAACCAAATTTCCACCAATATCTTCATATTTCAATTATTAGGACGTAATCAAAGTCATTCAGAGTGGCTTGATGTTAAATGCTCCATTTGGGACCAACTTGGTGAGCCAGAATTGTTCACAGTGGTGGTGGAAGGAACCAGACATCTGAATGAAATGCCTCAGACATTGTTTTACGATATTCTGGCTTAATTTTTTTTTTTTAAATCAATTAATTGTGGGCACGTATATGTGTGTTGTTATGCAAAACAGTTCCCAAAGAAAAAACATCACTATTTCATTATTACATTATCTATGTTACATATAAAAACTCAGAAGGCATGTGTAGGTTCATTATGGATAGTGAATGAAATGGCTGTATCTGTGCAAATCCTGGTTCCCATCACCAATATTAGAAAAGAAATCCAAGTCATTTTCACTCCAATGTTTCTCTACAATGACCCATTTCACATCGATCCATCCTATGATTGGGTTTACATCTCAGTTATGCAGAAATGGTTAAAAATCAATAGGTACTGGATAGACTGGGTAGTTACCAGGACATTGCAAACAGCTGTCAGGTGTAAAGTTGAAAAATTGACCATACTGGGACTGAACATGCTACATGTAAGCTTCAATGCAGAATTTGTGCCTCGTCCTAACAGAAGTCAGAGCTGAAACACTCCTTATGACTTCAATATGAATGGGTGGAGCCATTCATGCTGTAGGCTTAAATGGTAGACGTGTAAATTACTACTACTACTACTACTACTACTACTACTAGTGCTAATACTACTACTACTATGAATGCTACTAATAAAGCTACTACTACTAATGCTACTACTCATACTACTACTACTACTACTCATACTACTACTACTACTACTACTACTACTCATAATACTACTACTACTACTACTCATACTACTACTACTACTACTACTCATAATACTACTACTACTACTACTCATACTACTACTACTACTACTCATAATACTACTACTACTACTACTCATACTACTACTACTACTACTACTACTCATACTACTACTACTCATACTACTACTACTACTACTACTACTCATAATACTACTACTACTACTACTCATAATACTACTACTACTACTCATAATACTACTACTACTACTGCTACTACTCATAATACTACTACTACTACTACTCATACTACTACTACTACTACTACTCATACTACTACTACTACTACTACTACTCATAATACTACTACTACTACTACTCATAATACTACTACTACTACTCATAATACTACTACTACTACTGCTACTACTCATAATACTACTACTACTACTACTCATACTACTACTACTACTACTACTCATACTACTACTACTACTAATAATAATAATACTACTACTACTACTCATACTACTACTACTACTACTCATAATACTACTACTACTACTCATAATACTACTACTACTACTGCTACTACTCATAATACTACTAATAATAACACAATTAAATGAAAATCAGCCAAATATTTTGAGCATAATTTGAATCAGCAGAGCATTTTAAAATGAATAATTAAGGATTCTGTTGAGTGGTTTGGTTTGTGAGTGACTGGTGACACTGTGTCTCCTGCAGCACTAAAAACTCCAGGATAGCAAATCGTGCCCAGAATGTAGAGGTAACCACTTGTCAGCTTAACCAAGATATGAGAAGTACTGCAGCTTCCCTTATCACATCCGGTTTCTGAAACCCAGATGCATGTGATGAGCTGGTGTTTGTAGCTGAGTGCTGAAACATATTCAGCTACTCAGCCAATGCGAAATTCATTCTGTGCAGCAGAACAGTTTAAGAGCAGAGCAACACCACCGTAATAAGCTGCGAGAGACTGAGGAAAGGCAGCGCACAATAAATCCCTTAGTAGCCCCATTTTCAATAAAGGAAAAGTGCCAGAGAAGCTCAATACTGGACATGGAAAAAGTGCAAGCAAACAGGTACGCCAATGAAGTCTGAATGCATTATATCCATATTTAAAGGCCCATTTCACACCAGGAGCAAAAATACTACTGCAGCTTCACCACAACAGATGAGCCGACCCATTATGCAATAAAATACATTGGAAGTTTATTAAAAAGAGCTCCTTTGACTGTGCTTTTCCGGCACTTTCGCTTCTGATAGCTCCACAGCTCGCCTGGGACCTCTGAAAGCAGAGAGCTTGTTACATTTTAATTACACTAGACGATCTATTCGCCCCGGAAGCTACAGAGAAGATGCAATAAATACAGAGCAGTTGAAGGAAAGTAACCGCATTATCAAATTTGGGTTTGTATGATTCATAGGGATTCATTTTTCTAGGGAAGATATGGGTCAAGAGATTCTGCCAGAAGGCACAGATTCATATGGCAGTAAATTTGTGCTGTAGTTTTGCTTGAGCAGCGAGATGCGCAACTGAACTGACGAACCTGAATGACCTGAAGACGGTCAGGAATTCTAAAGCAAAAGGAATTGGCCCGCAACGGTTAGCAGACTCCGCGGAAGAAACAAAGAAAAAAGGAAAAGTGTTGGCGGATGTGTCCAATGCTGTGAAGCACAGTCAGGTAAACGTTTTTCCCACAGAGAGTCCGCTCACACACACACATAGACACACTCTTTACCGGGTCCAAATTGGTTGCTGTGGAAACCAGGTTCAGGTTTGCACGGTAATCAGGTTTTGAGAAAATCCTGATCCAAAAATGAATCGCTTGGCGAGAAATTGCACCTAATCTCGTTTTTCAATCATGTTTAAATGTTCTCTCAGATGGGCCGCGTTATTGTTAACCTTCACAATAAAAACACAATTAAGTACCTCTGTCCTCCGCACTGCAACTCTGAAATACAAAAGATTTCAGATTTCTTTATGTGCGAGAACAATGATGTGAAGCCATGAAGACTCATGAGCAGTGAAAAAGGTGAAGATTTCAGAAACCATCCCCTATAGTGGGGCCCACCGACACTGTTCCTAGGAGAACATTTCAGTGATTTTAACATTAAAAGTTCTGGTTGATTCTGGTGCACTCTGACACCATTTTCACACCTAGTTTGAGTTTTTCGTTGGTTCAGCTGGTTTCACGTTGCTATGGCTAAAGTGCACTTGGAAGCAGACTGAGACCTCAGATTTTTGCTGGACCATGGTTCCTTTCTTAAGTGCAGAGTAGAGTTTGAAGTGCTCACACTTGTCAAATTGGACTGAACTAAAGAAAAGCTCGACTGGTCCGCACCAAACATGGGAGGTATAAAAGCGCCCTAAGACTAAGAGTTCAGGGATCATTATTGTGGAATTATTTAGTTCAATAATTATAACAACTATACAAATACAAGCCATGTCCAAAAATGATACTCTTTTCAAGGCATTTTGACTCATTTATTAAAAATATCTTTGAAAAATTTGGCAGACATTTTGTGTTGAGACCCCACATCTATTATAGGTAGAGTCTGCTTTGCAAATCATTTGTTCTACTGCTTGTACACCAATGACTATGTAATTTGTTGGTGGCCACTAAGCTCTCATAGACCTCTGAAGTTGTGAATATGGGGAACTCTGAGTCTGTCCTGGTTTTCTCTATGACAAAAATAAATGGCATTTTCAAAAAAAATAATGTGTGGTGAACTAAGAAGTTCAAAAGCCAATATGTTCTGCTGTACAGACATTTTTTCTCAAAGTTGTCAGATCCCTGTAAATTATGAGGTCATTAAGGAGCCAAAATATGACTACTGCTACCACTGCTGTGCACTGATTTAGCATCATATGAATGGGCAACCTCCCCAAAATACC